AGTGGACATTAAACATTTAATGTTTCAAAATTAAAAATAAAGACTTTTATTATTATTATTATTATTTTTATTATTAACAATATATTTCTAATAATTATATATTTATATTAAGTCCTATTGATTAATAACCAAATTGAACATGAAATATTAATAACACAATTATTTTAACATTGACCTATATTATTCATATATTTTTTTTAACTTACCGAATCTACAAAGGGAAATTGTTATATATCACAGACATTTATTATTTATCATTTTCAATTGATTTTAATATTTTCCTTTCATATTTTTCCCAGAGAAAACCTATATTCCCAGATTTTTATTGGGTTTACGCTTTAATAGATTTTGCTACATTTCATCACTAAACCCATAAGAATCATAAATATCATTTAACGTTTAAATTCAATATACAATTTAAGTAGCGTTTTTAAAAATGATCGTTTAATAGAATAATATGTACCTATCAAGTTTTATAATTTTTGTATAGAGCGACTACTATACAACAATAGAGTAAATATTCTTGGAAATCTGTATATAAATCGAAATGTATCCCTTGAAAATGGACTAACAATAGTTTTTTATTCGACTAAAAATAGGGAGATTTTGTCCAAAACATTTTTTCATATCTGTAATAGATGGCGCTGTAATGAAAAAAATAAATTTTGTTCAATTTTTCTTCTTTATACGATTCTGCAATAATTTTTCTATAAAAATATCACTTTTTTTTGGTATTAATTATCTTATTAAATTAAATCCGATTTTTTTAAGTACCCACGATTTTTTAACTAATATTTAAGTTTCCTTTGGTTTAAGTTTTATACAATATTTCATTCGGTGATAATAATTATTATCAATTGCGCGCCATGGTCACTTTTTACCTGCCAGCATTAAATCCTTTAATTTAAAGTATTATTGTACTATTTTTAATAAAAATACCTTATTTAAAGAAAAAACACATTATTTTGTCAATTAATTAATTTAATCCTAATTGAGGTATAAAAAAATAGTATTTAGTTATAAATAATAATTATTATTGAGGTATAAAGAAACTATTTATAGTATAGCATAACTTAATCAATTTATTTTGAAGATTAATTTGCAAACAAAAAAACCTCCTTTCGTTAAGCAGTTATTCATAATGGATTTTTTAACATTGGAAGAAAAAATAGAAATGATTTTGATTTATGAAGAAGCAGGCAGGAATCTTGATAATGCTGTTAATATCTACGCTCAGCGTTTTCCGGATAAAATTCGATCACGTACTTCATTTTACCGTACAGTCAAGCAGATTACTACAAACGGGAGTGTTGAACAAAAAAAAGAGTTCGTCGAGAAACAGTCACAGGTGGAAATACTGAAATTAATGTATTAGCAGCAACGGCCGCTAATCCTCATGCAAGCACACGAGAATTATTTAGAGATATCCCAGAGCAGTGTTAGCAGAATATTAAAACGAAATGCAAATTAATAAATGCATGTTCTTATTTTTATTATAAAATTGAGATATACATTTTTACAGTGTAGATTGTGTACGTTAAAATCGACATAATAAACAAAACGTGTTAAAAATAAGAAAACAATTTAAATACAGCTATTTTTGAAAATCATTATAAAGCAGCTTAATTGATCTTTTCTCTGGTATAGTTTATCAAAAGTCCTATTGGTTAATTGGTAACTTAAGTTGACAATTGTATATAAATAATCATCATATTTTACTTTGAATTGACATTTTAATTTCAAAAGCGTGTTTAAGTAGTAGTACAATTTAATGAAAAAAATTTGAAAGTTCCTTGTAACACTTAATTTAATTTATTGTTTTTATTATTTTTATCAATACTGTTTAATTTAATATGTACGTTTAACACATCGATTTAAGTTTAAAATTAGGTACCTATGGAATATGCACTTTGGAAGAGTAATTTAAAATTAATTTTTTGTAGAGATAAGATTTTTGCAATTAAAAGTTATGTTTAATTAAATCTTTATGGTATCATTAAAAAATCGTTATTTCATGCTACTAAAACCGGCAATTCTCTTTATGTTGTTTTCTGAAAATAACCAATTAAACCGGTGCAGAATTCTCCTTTTATCTTGTAATTAACGTCGGTTTACAAGTTTAGTAATCATGTAATTGTTGAACCAAAAGTATTTTTGTATGTCTAAATTTACAAGCAATAAATAGCGAATAACTCTCCTACATAATATGCTCAATGATGCCTCAAACACGACTTTGCCATTTGAATACTCCAGTCCCAAAACTTTATGATAAAGTTCTTATTTGTTTTTTATTAGATATAGATAGACGTCGAGAAACTTTTTCTTTACTGTTTCTGTCTGCATTGAATTACATACGTGTTTTTTAACTTAACAAAATTTTATAATGATGAAATCAAAAACATTGATTTAAAATTATTGGAGGCTTAGATTTCTTGTAAAAAAGATATCAGGTTGCTAATGGGGCAAATTTAAAAAAAATTAAATTAAATATTATTTATTTAATTTGACATTTGGATACAATATTTATGTAATGTAAATATATGGATTAACTTTGCTATACAAATTTTGTTTATTGTAATTTTGGTGCAAGAATTAAATTAAATTAAATTTGAACCACAATATAGAATTGAGCATAGATATTTTAGACTTGATATAACAAAAACTTAGTTAATTAAAATTATTAATTATATACTCCACTGACAAAAAAGTGTTTGTGTTGGCGCACCTGTTTAGTTATTATTTCTCAATTTAATGAGGATAAATTTGTCTCACTTATCTTACTATTTCATTTTGCGGTTAAGATATAAATCATTGTTTTTACTTGTTATGTTTAAGAAGGTATTATAATAGATACAATTCGATTGGTTCATTTTAACCGAAAGTTCGCTATATGGTATATGGTAGGTATGTATATACCTATTATATTAAAAAATGCATTTTTTAAATCCATGAATGTATGCTCACATTCAAATAAAAAACCGTTTTTTTAATTTTATTAACCATTCAATTTTTCTTACATTTTTAATAAAACATTAAAATATGTACTAGGGTAAACCACATAGTTATTGGACACTTAATTAAGGAATATTATTTATTTAAAATTTATATATGCCGTTGTTTTAAAAATTTTAGTTTTTTTCTTATACATATTTAAAAAGAATAGTTTCTTTGTTTAAACTTTATTTGCGTTTACTTAAAAATAAGAATATTTGAATTTTTAATAATAGTTTTATAAAAACATGCAAAAAAGTATAGTAATTGGACATTTTATATAGTAATTGGACATATGGACATAAATTGTTAAATATTTTTTAAAGATAAATTGCTGTTTTAGGTAATTTTTTTTTATTTCGTTTTTGTAAATATCATATAATTCATATATTTATTTCTCGGATTCCTCATCCCTTTTCTGGATTCTGAAGGTAACTAATTCCTTGGTCTGACTTCTAAAATAGTTTGTTGCAAATATAATTAAGTAACTAATCCAGTTTGTGAAGCATTTATAATGTTTAGGCCGGAACAGGATGATTTTTCGAATTTATTAATTTTGTTGCCATTAGTTTTTTATGTTCTATATCATGCACTGTATTTAAATCACTGTTATTCTGTAAGATGTCCTGTCTCATTATATTACTGACTTTTTAAAAATGAATTAGTCAAAAATGTCATAGCGAAAAAGCAGCCACTAATAATTATTATTTTAATTATAATTTTCGTCAATAGCAATTTGTATCCAGGACATTTAGCAGTAAATTCCTATGAAATATTATTCGCTGAATCCGAAAATGTCGTCAAAAGTTATAAAAATAGAACAGTTTTTGAAATATAATCAATTTTCCATATAATATGGAATTGACTATATCTCAAAAACTGCTTAACTTTTATAGTTTTTGTCGGTCTTTTTGGATTTTACATAAGAAATGGCTGGTAAATGTCCGGGATACAAATAAAGTATGATATTGGACATATATCCAATAATAGAAATTTACATTTTTTACCAACCAGTAATTGGACACTGGCCATTTTACTGTTGGTTTTTAGAATTACAATTAAAACAAATTAAATTGATAATGTTTAAACCACGAGGAACACATTTATACCACACACTGGTCTGTACACTTTTTATAAATATTTTTTATTGTAATTTAAACACAGCCCTGCTCTTAACAAAAAAACAAAAATCTTACCACCAAAGTAACGTGCGAACTTTTTTGTCCTATATTGGACCCAAAATAAAGTAGTTTACTATATTATTACCGACTAATATAGTTATAATTGTATACAGCGTCATCTAATGATTTGACTTTAAGGTAACTATTTATAGAACTCTACCATGTAGTAGGTACGCCTTTATCTAAAAGAAACTGAAATTTTGTTGGTGTACGTTATTATTGAAAAACCTTATTGACACTTTTTAATTTATTACAAAGGATACAAAAATATTAATGGAAACAACACTTTGTCACGAAAAACATATTTGAAATGGACAGATTTTTTAGATAAAATGTTTTTAAATTTTTATTTGTTATGCGTCGTCAGCTTCTTCCTCTTCTCCTTCCTCTCCTTCTCCTTCTCCTCCTTCTCCTTCTCCTCCATCATCTTCTCCACCTTCTCCTCCTCCATCTTCACCTTAAATGGATCAAGTTAACTTAAAAAATATATACTTTTATTATAACTCACCACCTTCTTCATCATCTTCGCCCTTATCTTTGTCCTTGTCATCTTCATTGTCCTTGTCCTTTTCCTTATCCTTGCTCTCTGCAGCAGATTTCTTAAACGCTTCGTAGTGGACAATGACAGCCGCAGCGCATCCTATAATGATGAGGATTACTCCAAGTGGGTGAATACTGATCGGACGTGGTAAAATAACTTTTTTACACACCATAATTTAACGGATTTATTTGGGTACATTTAACGATAACATGATTTAATCTGTCAATTTGACTTAAACATAAAACACTTCAACATTAATACTAACCCTAGCTTTCTATTTGTTACAGATTGTGATAATGTCAAAAATGTCTATCGGCGAATCAAAATGAACTTAACATCATACAACAAAAGCGATGGAGAACTCGAGAATTTGGAAAACTTTGTCCCTGGAAGGGACGAAGCCCTTGCTAAGATTGAAATTACTATTTCCACTTTGATTTTTATAATTACTGTTATTGGAAACAGCATTGTAATTTTAGCACTTTGGGCAAGAAGAAGGTAATATAACAACCCAAGTTTCTCATAATTTTTATACTCATACTAAATTTAAACCAACAGCTAAAGTTTATTTAATAAATATATCAGAATTATAATACAGTTCATGTGATATAAAATATTTATTTGGCCGGGGGAAACTTTAAAATTTCCAATGGAACACCCGCTTTTTTATTGCAGATTCGGATCATTCGACTAAAAATAGATTTTTCTTCTGTATACGATTCTCCAATAATTTTTTAATAAAATACTTGGTTTAATTTATTTATTTTTTAAATTTTAATTAAAGTAGGTTAGGTATTAATTCGCATTTCGTTTTAATATTCTGCTAACACTGCTCTGGGATATTCCCAAATCTCTAGATAATTCTCGTGTGCTTGCATGAGGATTAGCGGCCGTTGCTGCTAATACATTAATTTCATTATTTCCACCTGTGACTGTTGCTCGACGAACTCTTTTTTTCGGTTGAACACTCCCGTTTGTAGTAAACTGCTTGACTGTACGGTGAAATGAAGTACGTGATCGAATTTTATTCGGAAAACGCTGAGCGTAGATATTAACAGCATCATCAAGATTCCTGCCTGCAAATTAATCTTCGAACTAAATTAATTAAATAATTCTAAACTATGTATATATAGTTTCTTTATACCTCAATAATACTAATTATTTATATCCAAATACCATTTTTTTAAACCTTAATTAGGATTAAATTAAAATATTGTGTTTTTTTTTAAATAAATAGTACAATAATCCTTTAAATTAAAGGATTTAATGCTGACAGGTAAAAAGTGACCATGGTGCGCAATTGATAATTATCACCAATTGAAATAATTTATGAAACTTAAACCAAAGGAAACTTAAATATTAGTTCAAAAATCGTGAGTACTTAAAAAAATCAGATTTAATTTAATAACATAATTATTACCAAAAAAAGTTATATTTTTATAGAAAAAGTATTGCAGAATCGTATAAGAAGAAAAATCGAACAAAATTGATTTTTTTCATTACAGCGCCATCTAAGGAATGATTTAATTTTTATTTTATTTTTTTTTCTTAAAATGCATACTAAATAAGATGTCAAAGTTTCAAGTAAAATGACTCACCCTGTATATTGATTTATATCAAACTTAACTTAAAAAAATATTCAATTTTATTGTGCTGTTTGATATTAGGGATTTTTAATTTTAGACTGTTGGCAATCTTTTAACCTTCAACAATGTATTAAATTTCGTGTCTCTGGGTTTGTTTATAATAATTATAGGCTTAATTATTATAAAATGTAAATAAAATGATGGGAAGTTAATGTAACTGTCGAGAAAATAAAATTCAAAGAAAAAAATGTTTTTGGCGTTTTATTTTGACTGACTTAGTAAATAATATGATATTAACTACTTATTTTTTAAAGATTTATTCAATTTTATTTATCAATTAAGGGGCCTTATACTAAAAGGGGTATAAGTAATGTAAATTTATATACAATTTTTAACAATTCTTATTTTTGTAAATTCTTAACATGTCCTAACGCGATTTTTCATAGATCTTCTACACTGTTTAAAATATCTGTGGTGTGAAGAGTAATCTTAAAATGGTGTCAAGATCCAACACCAAGTCTTGTTAATATAGACACCATGAATTATGGTTGAAAATGTTTTATACAGCAAACACCAAAACTGTGTTTATCTAAAAATATGCACCAACACAGAAAAAAAGGAATAGTTCATTTAACTATATTAATTTAGTTGATCCATAAGTATTTATTTAAATGAGCTGTGGGAAGGTTAATATAAACAAAGATTAGTTTGACGGTACTAAACCAGATAGTTATTTTTTTTTTTTAAATTGGTTAAATTAACCCAGAAAACTTTAGTGACACCAACCCGCTGTATGGTTCAGTTTACAAAATATGTTGTTTGTAAAATAAGAGTTACTTCAACCTATGCACTCTGTTAAAACGATTAAAACAATTTGCCGTGCATTCCTGGTTGCATAGTGTGTACCGATCGCAGCAAAGGCGGTGTGGATCACGTGATGTTCTTAAGTCTCGCCTCTGTTGACTTACATGAAGAGTATATAAGCTTAGGTAGTCCTTTGCTTTGGTGTGACACTACAAGTTGTTCGATAGTAAATAGGTGGGAACATCTGTCAATACTTGAAGTATTTTAAGTTGGTGGAACGCACTAAAAACATTATCTCTAGCGAGTTGAATTTTGAGTTCAATTTTCTGGAATAATACCACTGGTAATATACTTGTAACGCGTCAAGGAACTTGCTGTTTCCTTTTTTTCCTTTTTTTTCTGTGTAGTATGATTTAATTTGACCAAAAACACATTATACTTAACACTAAAAAGGAGTTCAATTTACACCAGGTAAAATTTATTTTAATACTGTGTATTTACACCATTTTAGTATTTGAATTTACACTGGACCAACGAACCATGTTTAACACCATTTTGGTTTGTATCGATATAGACCATGTTTGGTGTTAATTTGGTGTTAAAATGGTCATGAAATTTTGAACAGTGTATTGTTTTCGAAAAATCCAAGTTTATTTCTTAAGGATTTACAAGCATTCCAACCGACGGCATTCCTCAAGGTTACGAATTGGAACTGCATACCCCAATGATTTCATATATCACCACACAAACAAGTCGAGTGGATATAAATCTGGAGAACGAGGAGGCCACAGAATTGGCCCGCCTTGTCTTATCCATATGGCGGCGTGTTCTTTACCGTTTATGAAATTAATGTTGGCCATTTCTTGGAAAGTGTAATTTACCATTTTTATTAGAAATAACAAGTTGATCTGATTTATGTTATGACAAACCATTAATCAAAAATGAATAAGACCTAATTTAGAATTAAAATTCAATGGTTTTATAGAACAAAGATCCCTAACTTTTCAATTGGTAAGATTAATTAATAATTTGTATTTCTTGAAGCTGACGTAAACATTCTTACTATGAACGCTACTGGGTTAATGAGTAAGGGAAAATGTAAAGTTAAGTTAAGTGAAAACTTTTTTACTCGATAAATTAAAGACCTTCTTTCAAAACAGCTTTTTCCAGGAATATTTAAAAACTTTATTATAATATCAAGTGCAACTGTTTATGGCCATTAATTAACTGACTTACAGAGTCAATAACAAACAAAAACATAAACATAACATAATATGTTACTTTTAAAAGTAATGGAAATTTCTATAGGTACCTACTTTCTTAAAATGAAAACTAATTATAAGTCATATTTGACTAATTGTCATAGCGAAAAGCAGTCACTAATAATTAGTCAAATTCTACTGAATGAAATAGTCAAATTAGTAGATTTAAATTTAAAAAAAAGTTTTGACACAGTCGGGGATTGAACTCTGTCACTTGTCAAGCTTGTCAAGCTGTTGTCATAACCAATGTGGCTATCAGTCACCATTATAAAAATCAATTTTATTTGTCAATAAATATTGTTCATAATATTTTATAAGTTAAATAAATTATTTGTGTTGCTGTTTTGAGCTAAAGTTTTTGCATATTTGTTTGTTTTTATGGGCCATTTAACCATGGAGCCTATATGCATTTAATACAAATAATACTACGATTAAAGAAATTAGTTACTTTTAACTCTCAGAAATAGTCAAAGATGGTGACTAATCTTAAATTAGTCAAACTTTAAATATATACGTAGTAAAAATAACTATTTAAAAGTGAAAACGACTATTTCATTAGTAAAAAATGCTGGTAATAATTTAAATAGTAGAATTTAAGAGAGTAGATAAATTCAGATTTTTACCACTAGCTGCAATAGCCAATACATTTTTTAACTTTTTGGAGATTTGTGGTTTTTTAATTGAACCTTATTGCATGTTTTACACGCTATGAAAATCATAGGAGCAAAGACACTTATAAGGCGCTTAATCTACGAGGCCGTAAAAAGGAATCTAGTCTTGAAATAAACATCTAGATAACTTCATATTTGTCCTTCCTATTCGAATCATCGGAGGGGATATCTTTCCTATGGTCAACGGTTTTGTAAAAGAAAACAATTTGGATTGGTGAGTTGTGACGTTTATACAAGAAGTACTTTCAGAAGAAAAATTAGAATGCAGCAAGTTACTCAAAGTCTGTTTCACAAACTCAATACCTTTTAGAGCAACTCATAGCTTGGCAGTGAGCACCAGACCCTATTGTAACATACAAAAGTCCAGAAAATAGTTCTCTGATAAACTAACGACTTAATGTATCCCCATAAATAAAAAGTCCTCGGGGGTTAAATCTGGTGATCTTGGGGGCCACAGTAACGTTGCATAATGCAGGGATCCCATGCCCCGTCTTGTTGGAAGTGAAGGTTCTCCTCACTAAGTATCAGTTTTCCATCCCTATCTCTCCAATCTTCGAGTTCTTGTGCAAGTAAATTTAGGTAGGTAGTTATCTCCAGTGAGATTTTCTTCAATAAAGATTAGGCCAATATTTGTTTTTTGAGGTAGCTGAATATCCTTCCTTACAAAAGTGTTTTTCATCACTCCACTACCTACAATTTTGCTTGTTGACCTGTCCATTTAGGGAAAACGTGCATTTGTCGCTGATACAAATATTTTTAATGAGTGTAGGATCTTCATTTCCTCTTGCCGTCATAAATTCACAAAACTCTATTCTTTGATCTGGATCATCACCTAACGCTTGTCAATTTTTCATTTTAGAAGTGTAAAATTTGTGAATATTGTGAAGACGTTGAAGATGACGAACGCCCCGAACGCACAAGCACATTAACAACCGATAAAAACATGGAAAAAGTGGGATAAATGGTTATAAACCATCAGAGAAGTCGCTGATGATGTTGGTATATCGATTGGCTCATCCCATGAAATTTTTTCGAATGTTTTGGGTATGAAACGCGTGGCAGCAAATTTTGTTCCAAAATTGTTAAATTTTGAACAAAATTTTTGGTCAAAAACAAAACTGTAATGATGCCCCAGCCTCCATATTCGCCAGACATGCCTCTGTCTGACTTTTTCCTATTCCCAAAAATAAAGAGAACCTTAAAGGGCCGTCGGTTTGCAAGCATATATGACATTAAAAGCGCATCGCTGAAAGAACTAAAGGCTATCCCAAAGATAGAGTTTTAGAAGTGTTTCGAGTATTGGAAGAAGTGCATAATATCCAATTGGGACTATTTTGAAGGCGACAACATTAATGTAGACGAATAAATAAATATTAGTTTCAAAAAACGAAAATTTCCGATATTTTCTGAACACACCTCGTACATACCTATGAACAGCAAAAAATTAAACCTTTTTATTGAATTGATGAAAACATGGTGACAAAAAATTACAATCTAAAAATAAGAGATTTTTTCTTGCAGAATTGTTAAAAGAATTAAAAGACCTTTTGAACAAGGTATCACAAGACCTATAAAATATTAAAATTCATTGACGAACCAAGATTACATGACCAATTCAATATAAATATAAATTTCGGTTCATTAAATTAATTTCATTGCTTAGTTTTTTCTACAACAATATCAAAAACAATTTAAAAGATTTATGTATACAACCGTCTAAAATAACACATTCTTTTTAAAGTAGAGTAAAGGAATCGCCTAAGGACAAAGTGGTATTAAAGGACTAAATTAAATCGCCCTTTGAACCAGTAACTTTAGTTTATTTTCTTTTTCTTTGTAACAATAATACCCTTTGTTTTAGATGTGCCGGAAGGAAAAAACTATCCCGAATGTATTTCTTTATTCTACACCTGAGTATTGCAGACTTAATCACCGCTTTCCTGAGCGTTTTACCTCAATTAGCCTGGGATATTACCTATAGATTTTATGGGGGCTATTTCTTGTGCAAGATGGTTAAGTTTTGCCAAACTTTGGGTCCTTATTTAAGCTCGTACGTCCTTATGGCAACAGCCATTGATAGACACCAGGCCATTTGTTATCCTTTAACCTATTGCTCGTGGACTTCGAGAAGGTCCAAGGTCATGGTACACATTGCTTGGGTCAGCAGTTTGGCTTTTTGCATACCACAGGTATGTTTTATAATAATGTATTTTTAGCAAAATTACATATTTTTAGAAAAATATACATAATATTATTTAACTTAATTTTAAAATTGTCATGGCTACACGGATAGAAATGTTTAGTAAATTTTAGATAGTAAAAAAATAAAGTAAAATTTACTTTAACAAATTTTTAGGGTAACAATATTATATATTCGTCAATACAATATTAAGATTATAATACAAAATACTATTTTTTATTATACAATTTTAGTAAAGATTACAACACCAATATTACTAAATGTATAATATATATTTTAATTTTTAATATTTTCGTATAGTAAATTGATTTTACTATCTACAAATAGTAATATTTACTATATGATTTAATCAAATGTAAGGTGTACATCTAATATTAGAATATATAACACATTAATAAAAAAAATATTGTAAAAATAAAAATACTTTTATGTTTAAGGTAAATAAACAATATATTTAAATATAATATACAATATATAGACCAGTGCAGAAGCGTTTAAAAATGGTAAAAAGAGAAAAAAATAACAGTAGGATGAAACCCATTGGAAAAGGAGGGGAATATAATAAAAATTAAAGGAAAAATAAATTACGGGCGATCTGAGTTTGGGAAGTGGGAGGGGGGGGTTTTAAGGGTAAAAAATGGTTTATCTCGATTTCCGGCAAAACTACAAGTCCTATGGAAAAAAGTTAAAAGTCAAAGTTGTAGGTAATAAAAAGATCTACAACTTTTGTATTTACAATCTTTTCACATAACCTCAAACTTTATGTGAAAAATTCAAAAAACCAAGTTTTTGGTTTTTTATTTTTATCTTAAAAAAAAAAAAAAAATTTCCACGAAATTTTGTGAAAACTTACCTTTTTATGTCCCAAATACACTGTAATTTATTTGATTTTAAATATTTATTATTTCGCCTTATTTTGACTTAATATCAAAAAAGCACCCTAATTTTCAATCGAAAATTCTCGCGTCAAAATATCAGCTTTTTTCGAAAAGTTGGTGTGCTTTTTGTTCGATGAACTCTTTACTTTCTGATGGTGTAAAAAAAATATACATTACTATGGTAAATGTTCTCAGAAAATACAAAAAATATTATAATGAATAACGTAATCAGAATGAAGTATCTAAATTCAATAGTATGATTTACATGTATTTTTATATTTTATGAGATTTTCTGACATAAATGTTATTAGAATTTAATAAATAAACTTTTTAACTAAAAAAAATTGCAACAATCACATTTTTTTGATGAAATTGTACATAATGATTAAAATAAATTTTCGAATTCGAGTTTTTTTCGTTATTCATTATAATATTTTTTGCATTTTCTAAGAACATTTACCATATTAATGTATATTTTTTACACCATCAGAAAGTAGAGATTTCAACGAACAAAAAGCACACCGACTTTTTGAAAAAAGCTGATATTTTGACGCGAGAATTTTCGATTGAAAATTAGGGTGCTTTTTTGATATTAAGTCAAAATAAGGCGAAATAATAAATATTTCAAATCAAATAAATTACAGTGTATTTGGGACATAAAAAGGTAAGTTTTCACCAAATTTCGTGGAAAAAATTTTTTTTTTTGAAAAAGGTAAAAATAAAAAACCAAAAACTTGTTTTTTGAATTTTTCACATAAATTTTAAGGTTATGTAAAAAAATTGTAATTACAAAAGTTGTAGATCCTTTTATTACCTACAACTTTGCCATTTAACTTTTTTCCATAGGACTTGTAGTTTTGCCGGAAATCGAGATAAACCATTTTTTACCCTTAAACCCCCCCCCCCCTCCCACTTCCCGAAGTCAGATCGCCCGTAATTTATTTTTCCTTTCTTTTTAATTATATTCTTCTCCTTTTCCAATGGGTTTCATCCTACTGTTATTTTTTTTGGTTTCAAAAATTATCGACCCTGGTCTAATAGTAACTCATGACATTTTAAACATTCAATTTTCTTAGTTTCTTCAATAAACTTTCTTGACCCATTACTGGTTATACTTCTAAGAAAGAATTGAACCTACTTGGTTGCATAGTATGAACCGATTGCGGCAAAGGCCACGTCGCGACGCGTCGTTAGACGGTGTGGATCACGTGATGTTCTTACATCTCGCCTCTGTTGGCTTACCAACCATGTTATATAAGCTCAGGTATTTCTTTGTTTTGGGTGTGTTCCACTACTACAAGTTGCTCGACAGTGTCGTGTCGACACTGATGATACACAATATAGGTCAAAACACCTGTCTGTCGGTATTTGAAGTTGATGGAACGCACTCAAAACAAAAAACTTTGGCGAGGTGTAGGTTCAATTCTTTCTCATAATATTTTTCTATATTAAAATGTACAATTTTTAATTGTTAACATATAAAAATATTCGATTTTAAAATATTTTATATATAAAATGGCAACATAATATTTTAAAATTTACTATACTTATTAGTAATGGGAAAAATCTAATTATGATAAGAATTAAAAACAAAATTGGTTGAGAATAATAATATTTTACCTTAAGGTTTAACATACATGGATATTTAAAAATTACTAAATATGCATAGTATCTGGCAATATACAAGATAGTTGTCCCAAATAGTAATATAAATTATAGTAAAGGGTATTATAATTATGGTAATCAGCATTATACTTTTCACTCCGTGTATAAAAAAATTTACCTTTTTTATTAAATTGTCTTATTGGGACAAAAACCTACGATTTGTCAAAGTAATGAGATTATTTTTAAGTACAGAATAAATTTTTTTACCCTTAATAAAACTCGCATTTACTATAATAAAGCACCCATGTTGAGCTTTCATAAAAAAAATGTTCATCCAACAAAGTAATAGTTGTTATCATATTGTCATGGCAATAAGAAATACTTTATGTTTATATTAAATCTATAGTTGTTTGTGAATTGCGCTTACATTAAGTAATGCGCAGTTGTTGAAGTAAAATTTTTTCATTTTATAATGGCATATTTGTCTTTTTTAAATTTCTATCGTTATAATTAAAATTAATTTTATTTCATTTAGAAAATCTTTGTTAATAGCTTTCGTTAAGAACAATAACAAAAATATTTTATTGCTATAAAAAGACTTTTTTAATGTTTATCATGTTTTTGTTATTTCCCTTAAAAAGAGGGGGAAAGGGCCAGCGCTCTTCTTGGTGAACATAACTTTATAATCCACAGTCTGTGTTATAATTTTATTGATTTCACTTGTGCGAGTGAAGTGTGGTAAAACTAGCATGATAAAAAATCAAAAAGATAACTAACAAAATTAAAATTTCGACGTTTTCTAAAATAAATATTTGAGGCATATTCTATAAACGTTGTTTAATGAGTTAATTTTTTTGTTATAATAAATTATTTATTTTAATGCCTTGCAATTATTTAAAAAAACTACCCAACGTCCAACAGAAGGTTAAAAATGTGACCATTGTTACAATGAAAATAGTTTATTAAATCAACAATTAATTTGTTGTTAAATTTACATAAATTTTATTAATATTATAAAAAGTTATATTTTAAAAGAAAAGGTATTTATAAAATTTACAAAATTTCTATAAATAATACCATTAGGGTTTTATGAATACTACAAAACGGTATAGAACTGTTTTTTTGGACAAATAATAATAACTATATTTATTAATGCGTTTCTGCATCTGAAAGAGTATTATTTTATAAACATAACCGTACATTTACTTTATAATTAATGCAAATTCTATTATTAAAAGCAACGTTTGTAGATAAATAATTTTTATAAAAATAATCTTTTTGCCGTAACAAAAGCAATTGTGAGACGAATAGGGTTCTTTACTTTATTAAGACAAACCACTTTTTGTTATATTTATTTAAAAAAATTCTGAGTGTATAACGATGATACAGATTAAAATAAAAGGTATTGATTAAATTTTTTTAAAATATGTTATAGTTTTATTTAAATTAAAACAAGTCTTAGTATTTACATCCATTAAGTAGATTACTTTTATTGTGGGTATAAAAATTGGCACATTTTTTGTTACTGTCTGGTACTTAAATAAACCGTAATCTAGACTGATCTTCCAACTTTATTTAAGGAGCCCATCGTTAAAAAACGTATACTGTCGAAAATTAAGATACATTATTGTCTTGAATTTTTTATTTAAGGCCACTAAAACAGTTTCATAAATCACCATAATAAATATTAAGGTAGCAATTACAAATTATATCATTATATTATTAATAAAAATACATAAATATGTTTTATTATATTCACAACTTCCAAAAATTAAATTTTTTAGCAAAGTCGCATTACGCCATTTAATAAGAAACTTTTTCTATAGTTTGTATTGGGAAAGTAAGAATTTTTTTTAAATTTTGGTCAATCCTATCTTAATAAAATAAAAAAGATTAAATAATGACGCTATAATCATGCTTTGTTTGCTCAGCATTAAAGCTACTTAATCTAAATTGGATTAAAGATTTAATTACCTTCATTATTTTTGCTAAAAAAGATACAAAAAATCTCTCAAAACCTTTTTAATGTTATGGGGGAACATTTTTTTGAAAATATTTTATTATATTTATTATTATTATTATGTATTTATGTTTTTTTGGTTTATTATTCTTTTTTTAAATTATTTTGTGTTCAACAATTTTTTACTAATGTTTTTACGACAACAAAATGGTTAAATTTAATATTTATATCGAGAAATTGGAATAAAAAATGATAACAATTATTGTCCAATTTTGAAAAAAATTAAACTCATTTTTGTGGTCATACTGATTCCCCTCACATATCCTAGAAATGTTTTTGTAACAACAAAACTTTTGTTGTTTAAAAACATTAAACCTAAAAACCTTAAACATTAAATTTATTTTTAGCTCACCATTTTTTCTTTCCAAGAAGTTGATCCAGGAGTATACGATTGCTGGGCAACATTTCAAGAGCCTTGGGGTCAAAAAGCCTATGTCGTATGGTAAGTAATTAAGTATATTAAATTATCTTCAAGCGTTCTTTAATTTAAGCGTCACTACTAAAGTAATATGGACCAATTAGGTAAAGTTTTTAACATTCTATTAAGTAAAAAATACAAAATTGATATCTGCTTCAATGTAATTTAATTACTAATTGGAGGAAGTAAAGTATAGGTATTACACTAGAGATTATTCGCAATATTCACTTGTATTATATGCGTCTCTCGTCTAGCGAAACCTCATCTTCGTGAATAATATAATATAATAATACCATTAATTAATCAATATTTATTTGGTATTTAAGTTTTATTATTATTACGTTATTAATAACGTAACTTTAATTTTGCAAAAATGGCGAATGCTCCGGGGTTAATTTGTATTAAAACAAAACAATCTCCAATAAAGACTATTCAAAGTTTTTCAGTAAATAAATTAACTTTAAAATATTGAATTGATTTAGATTACCATTTTCGTATGAAATGACTTCATATAACAAGAGAAATGTAAACTCTCTAAGTTTGATGATGATGAAATAAAACAAAATATATATTTACTCAAAAATGTAAACAATTTATTTGTTGGCAAAATGGCTGCGATTAATGAAAATTGAACCAGAAACGATTAATTTTGAATCATTAAAAAAATAGATATCTTTAAAATCCTATGAAAAAGACTGGATAATTATAATAATTTTTTTTCTAATGGTGTTAAAAATTAATAGTACATTAAAAAACAAAAATGTTGGCGCCTATTTCAGCCCTTAATATTAATATTAAGGTTTGCCTCAATTCATTTGTTGTTTTTCCATTTCAATAACACGGGAATTTTTATTTTTTTAATTTTGAATTCTTATAAATTTGGAATGGTTTGTTTTCGCAACACCCAAGCGAGAGGAGTTATAGACAATTTCACGCTCAACAAAAAACATCTGAAGGTCAAAGTTCTTCAGATCAACCGTTTCAAAAATATCAGCGATCAAAAATAACACTATAGTGTTATAATAAAAAATTTCAAATATTTTCAAATAAAATATCATATGCCATATTTATATTATTTTTTATCTAAAATCCCTTTAATTCTGTTAACCTGAGACTGTAAACTTTTTTTTTTTGATTTATATACATATATACATATACATTTTTGTTTTTTAATGTACTATTAATTTTTCAACACCATTAGAAAAAAAATAATTGTTTTTAAAAATATGCAAAATTTCATTTAAATCGGCCCAGCATTTTGAGCAATTTTTGTTAATTTTTATGTTGCTTACAATTCTTGTGCTTTGGGTTTGTGCTGTTTATACAGATTAAAAATCCTTTTCCTACAGGGGCACTTAAGTGCTAAGAACATATATTTTACTCCTCTTTTGTAAAAAATTAACTTTATTCTATCGGGGCTGTCATGCATCTGTCAAATGTCAATTTTAAGGTTAATTAACCCACAAATTAACCATACCTACAAATACAAGGCTTCCAAGTGCCTTTGCAAGAAACACAACGGTTAAAACGAGCACAAGAATTGTAAACAACATAAAATGGCCGCTGTTAAAGTCTGTGGGACACCCTGTATATTGTAAGTTTTTGTGCAGTATTCATTAAAAATATCTTAAAGTATACTTTTAGTTAAGTACTTTTCTTAAAAGTTTCCGGGAGCACAGAGCATTCCATTTGAAAAGATAATAAAGAGGAAAATATATAAAACTGCTGCAGATAAAACTTTTTGTGGGAATTCAATTTCACTCACGAATATTACTATTGTTTTAAAAATAATGATAATTAGGTTAAGTGTCCTTATATTGAATTTTTCTTAAGTACCTATATTTTATATATACTTACAATATATTGTAAATAATACAAAATTCTTGTATATTTTAAAAAAAAGTAAAAACAGAACACATAAAAGTGGGAAGTTGGATTTTTTTAAATAGGCCCTTAAAAAGAAAAAAGAAAAAAACGGTCCCCTGGGTCACAAATTTACTAACATTAAAATTGTTTTTAGAAAAATGCTTATAAATATATTTTTTGATTGTTAATAATCCTTTTAAGGTTTTATTTACACTAGGATTTGTTTAAAAAAAGAACATAAATTTATTATTTATAAAAAAAAATTGAGTACAAACAGTTTTATTTTTAAACTTTCTTACATACATAAGTATATATAATATATGTTTAATTGTAAAATCCATTAGAATAAGTTATGTTGTTTATAAAATAAGAGGCGCTTCTCTGCTGGTTTGATTTATTTTAAAAACCAACTAGTTTCGCCTTTGAGGCATCATCAGGGTTTACGTCAATGTTAAAGATCCCAATATATACACATTAAAATTATACGATTTGGTTATTTATATAAATAAACACTTATTTAAATTTAAAAATTAAAATTACATGTTATTGTTATATTAAAATATTAAAACAGTTAAGCCTGAATTATAGATTGCCTTCCTTCCTTCCTTCCTTCCTTCCGTAGTCGTGCCCGTACGATTTGTTCGTCTTGTAAAAAGACAATTTATAGATTTCCGTGTAAAATTCCGTAACCATGCGCGATGACACCTAAAATGGTTGACATTTGTTTTTGTTTATATTCTGCCCATTATGTGTAAATATGAAAGATAAACATTTATATATTAGTGCAGTGATCACAATTTTAGTTGCCTAGGCAGCTTGTTGTATACTGCCCAACTATGGAGAAAGGCAGTAACTGCTAAACAAGAAATTTGTGGGAAATTAGCATAAACTACATTTTTATAAAAATCAGTAGGTATTTAACTGATTTTTTTAACTTATAAGATAGTTTACTGCATTTCTTTGTTGAATAAGATATAAAATGTCCATAGCTTTATCATAGCACAAGAAAACGCATTTAGAATTTTTTTGTAGTTACTGCCTTTCTCTATAGTAGGGCAGTATAATGAAAAAAATCTAAGAAGATGTTGAAAGACTCGCCCAATTTACCAAGACCGGGAAACTACGGGGTTTTACAAAGCAACGTTTCTAAAAATGAAAGATATTGATCATAAACAATATCTAAATATCCTATTTAGAGGAACAAATTATTTAATTAACTGAACACCTATCTTAAATAATACTAAAAAATCATGTATTTTAAATATTTTGTGCCTACGCGCTGTCACCCTACAGCGCATGTCCATAACAAGCACTGTGATTGGTCATGTCAAAGACCTTTACGGCAAAAGATAAAACTTAAAAATTACGGGAATCTATAAATGGCACTACGATTTAAATAAACATTTTTGACGTAATTGTCACCATTAACATTGCCCGTTATTAATTTTAATTAAACTTAACAATTATTGATACTTTAAAATATTAAAATAACTTTAAAATATGATTTTGTTAAGAAAATATTGTATCCTTTTTATTACTATAATTGCAAAATATTAAAAATTCTTACCTTCGGTCATCTATGATTCTTACACGGAAAATGTTAATGGTGACAATTACGTCAAAAATGTTTATTGGGTTTCGTTCATCTTCTACGGGAGGAAGGAATATATCTATCAACATTTGTGCTTTTTCTAGAGCAAAAGTAGGTATAATGTGATATTAAAAATAAACTTATTTAGTTTGGTTCTGGAAGTTAAAATACTGTCTATTCTGTCTATTTTTGTGGCATTACTCGTTTTTAAACAGACATTAGGGTGTTTAAAAAAAAAGAACAATTACTTTTTTTCCAATGTTGTTGAAAAATTAATAGTACATTAAAAAACAAAAATGTTGGCGCCTATTTGAGCCCTTAATATTAATATTTAAAAATATTTGAAATTTTTTATTAGTGTTATTTTTGATCGCTGATATCTTTGAAACGGTTGATCTGAAGAACTTTGACCTTCAGATGTTTTTTCTAGAGCGTGAAATTGTCTATAAAACCTCGCGCTTGGGTGTTGCGAAAACAAACCATTCCAAAGTTATAAGAATTCAAAATTAAAAAAATAAAAATTCCCGTGTTATTGAAATGGAAAAACAACAAATGAATTGAGGCAAACCTTAATATTAATATTAATATTAATACTTACATAGATACGTGCCAACTAAATAATTTGCTTTAATTATATTTCAAAGTAATTTAGAATACAAAGTTGAAATGTGATTTATAACTATGTCCCAACATTTAAGTTGTTAACAGCAAGTGTTGAATGACCTGACCGAATTATTTACTCAAAGGTAATTTAATTTAAAAAGCCATTGTAGTTGCATTGTTCGAATTTGCTGCCTGCAAGGGTCCCCCGCTTGTCCCCTAGATCCGGTCCTGTTTGTTAGATAGTTTTCGATGAGCTTAACTACAAACTAAAGTAGCAATTATAACTCTACATAGTATAGTGGAGTGGTAATAGGTTACAGCTAAAACAGATTAAAACGATTTCGGAATTTATCCAGAAATATGAGAGTTTCAAATCTCTAAATACTCGAAATTAAACTTATAATTATAAAGTACAGCGAAACAAAATATGCAATAAATTAATTACTTATCTGTATGGGTAAATTTGTATTTTAAGGCGTAACTCTAATGTGTAATAAAAAATATCAATCATTTGCGACTTGCTTACCAAAAACTGTAAGAATTTCCCTGTTTTAAAACGTTTTTTTACGAAATTATGAAAATAAAGCCAATCACTTAGTAATTTTTGTGGGTGCCAATTGCAAATAGCTTAAGGCTGGCGCGCACCGTTTAGTATTATTGATGGATCACCGTCATTTTATACTTGACGTTTTTTTTGTAATTTTGACATTTCGTTCACAAGCATCGTTTGTTGCAGATTGTTATAATAGTTATTTATGTCATTAGGTTAAGAAGTAAGGCTTTTTGTGCTAAGCTCAAGGTTTGAAGGCCGACGCGTAGGGAAAGCCTGCAATTGAGCGAAGCACTTTATATAGGTCAATTTAATTCAACATCAAAGCGGCCTAACCTCACTTTTTCAGAATCTCATTTATTTATTAGCTAAAGATTACATTAAATGTACAATAATTATTATTGCTTTTAGAAGCAGTAATAGTTTGACAATACCTAGCAACATGATTTAAGTAGAAATGGATTTTTGCTATAACATTGAATTCAATTAATTGTTTAATAAATAGGTAGGTATCTAATTTCAATTTGTTTGGATTTTTATTTTAAAAATAGGTAGTTTGGAATGTTTAGTCTGTGTTTAACATTTAATTTCACTGAAAACTTTTAATTAATTTAAATCGTAGAAAAAGAATCGTGCGTTTTCTTGGTTGCCTAACCTCACTTTTTGTTATATTATTCATATTTAATTTTATAATAATTTAATAAAAAATATTAAACATTAACAGTAAAACAAATAAATTAGTGCTTATTATAAATAAATTAAACCAGTTTATCACGTTAATTTCGTAGAAAAGGATCAATTTGTCAAAACAATACCCCTAGCGAAAAAAAATCGAACTAATTACTTGCCTCATAAAATTTTTTATCGGCCTAGGCCATAACAAGGTATTTCTTTATCGAATGTTGACAACAATAAAGTTTAAATTATAGACCGCGTGGAGATAAATAATTTTATACATTCTGTTTATTATATTCTACCAGTGGATTGTGCTAACAATGTTACAAGGCTTGTTGGCAACGCATTGCGAATACATTGCGCCCTTAATAATACATTTGAGGACGTAATCGATTCCAAGTCTGACCTGGTTCATTCTAATTATAACACTAGTTTACAAAATTGAAAAAAATTCTGCCCACCATATCCCATTATAATTTTCTATGTATTTTGACCCACTAAACACGAAAATCACCCAATTTTATTTTATGGAAGCGTTTTTAAAATATGATTTTTTAATTGTTTTTTTTTTTCAATTTTCAGAGGTGTTTTGAGGTTTTTGAATATAGATTGAAATCTAATTAATCGATTTGGTCAAACAAGCCCTTAAATTTAAGGTATTTGAGCCCTCTAAAACTTTCTCTTACATACGTTTGATATCGGATAAGTATTTTGACACCGATTTTAATAACTTAAAAATATCGTTTTTATGGCAAAAATTGAGGTCGAAAATTTACATATCGTCTTGAGAAAGGTTTAAATCAAACAGATGACTCCAGTTTGAATTTTTTTTCGTGAAGCTGACATTTTTACAAAAAAAAACAAGCTAATGTTGATAAAATACATGGAAAAATGGCGAAGTTATGAATTTTTTAGTGGAAGAGCAAAATTCAGCGATTTGACGATTTTTTTTATTATTTTTTTATTTTGTAATATGTTTATTTTTTAATTAAAACCTAAATAAAGTACATGATTGGAATTTTTTGAGTTTTTTACGTACTTTTTTCACCGTAAACAAAATTTAAATTTGACATGACTCCGCAAACGTGAATTCTTTTGTTTCTCGTGTTGGCATAGTGACATTTTACTGATATTTTTTGATATATAAACAAGGTTTTTTTGTCATGGTTTTATTTAGTTAATAAAAAGTGTAAAATGAGTAAAAGAAGTAGAGAGTTCGAGTGCGTAAATAACCCGCACAATCTGGGCGACGTAAGTGATGAGCACGGAGAACGTTTCTGGGATGCAGCCATGATGGGTGATTACATTTGGTCCCTTATACGAGAAACGGAACACGAAAGCAACAAAAAACAAAGAAGGAGCCAAATTTTTTTTTAACCTACGCTTATTACAACAAAATAAAACTTTCAATTTCTTTAATGTTCAATATTTATTTTTTAATATTCAATATATAATTTAATTTTAATGTTTAAAGTTTAAAATAAAAATCAATGTTCAATATTTGATATAATTCAATAAAATGAAAAAAAAACGTAAAAATTCTCGAAAAACTGAATTTTGGGCTTTCACTGAAAAATTCATAACAGCAGCTTATTTTTTCCTTTAAGTATAATCTATACGTAAAATAAATCAAACTGGAATTATCTTTTCTATTTCTATCTTTTCCAGAAAGATATGTAAATTTTCGACCTCGATCTTTGTAAAAAAAGGACTTTTTCAACCAAAACTATCGATCAATTAGAACTCGAAGTAGACACTAAAAAGTCAAAACACCTGAGAAAATTAAAAAAACAATTGAAAATTCATATCTCGAAAACGCTTCCATGAAAAAAATTTGTGATTTTCGCGTTTAGTGAGCCAAACTACACAAGAAAATCATAGTGAGACATGGTGGACAAAATGGCTGTAAAGTAGTGTAATTATTACCTACTACTAAAGATGGGATATTTAGGTACTAAAAACTGAAAAATAGGTAACTAAAAAGGTAATAAAAAAGCATTTTAGGTTAAAAAAAACAGCATTTTGGGTAAAAACTAAACTGACCAATAGTTAATTTAAGCTATAAGGAACTGAAAATATAACAGGGAATACCTGATATTTACCAAATTTACTACTAGAGTAACAAACGATAAAGTAACATAAAATAAAACTTAAAGCAATAAGGAACTCAGAAATATGGAATACCTAATATTTACCCACTTGAGTAACAAATAAGAATCTTTTCTATATTTTGAGACGAAATTTTCCACTGAATTTTCTGCTATTTGGCCGAATTTTTCAGATTTTCTTGCGTTCTGCACAGGTTTAATTGACTTTTTATGTTGATATATGTGTGATTTTTGCTCAAAGTCCTTACAATTTTACAGCAAACTCTACAAAATAAGTTTTTTCCGTCAATAGAAAATATCTTATTCTTCCCCTATATCCAACTGCTGAGTTTACTTAGAAGATTTTCTTTGGTTTTGGGCATTTTTTATAATTTTGTTTAGCATACCCAAACACAGAACATACCCACTGAGTGACACTCACTACACAGAAGTTCTATGACCATAAGAAAAAATTATATACCGTTGAGTTGCACGCTGTAAAAATAGGTAACAAATAGGTAAAAATAAACTGACAAATTAAAAAATATGTAACAAAAGTATAAAAAGGTAGTTTAAAGCAAAAACTCCAAAAAAGGTAAAAAAGGTGAAAACAAGTTAGGTTCGTATAAAAGAAAATCTTTTAAAACATTATTGGTTTTCAAATAGTTACATCGGTTGAAAAAAGGTAAAATAACTAAAATCCCATCCCTACCTACTACTTACTATTCCCGCACTGATCAGGGTTTAATAGAAAATTATTTTTTTGTTTCAGGTACTGCGTGTCAATTTTCATCGTCCCTCTTATAGTCCTAGTCTACACTTACACCAGTATTTGCAAAGAGATCTGGCACAGTTCGGAGTTCGGTTTGCGGCCGAAAAACTCCCATTACGACAGGACCGGCAAGAAAATGCCTTTGATATCAAGAGCGAAAATCAACACCATCAAGCAGACCATCGCCGTCATATTCATGTACATTGCGTGCTCTTCACCCTTCATGTTTACTCAGCTCTGGGCCATCGCCGATCCAAAGAATTCATTTTTTGAAGGTAAGACTCGTTTGGTTATTTTTTGTAATTGTTTGGTTAAGTTAAGCAAGTTTAAGAAAATAAAAGTTTTAATCAAGCTGTATTTTGATATTAAAAACAATTAATAAACCTAATAGTATCTGTAGGGCCATTCCACGCTTAACGGATAGGACAGTTGCCGTGTTTTTATTTACAAAATAATATTGTTCTATTATATTACCAATATCAAATTATAAATAGTTCTAAACTAAAGCTGTTTAACAAGGTTTTTATTTGGCAAAATTAGGTATCGTGATTGACTGTTTAATTTCTTAAAAATTAATAATTTAAAGCGTAACGGACGGGACTATTACAAAGTCCCGTCCGTTACGCTTTAAATTATTAGTTTTTAAGGAATTAAACAGTCAACCACGATACCTAATTTTGCCAAATAAAAACCTTGTTAAACAGCTTTAGTTTAGAACTATTTATAAAAATTTGACATTGGTAATATAATAGAACAATATTATTTTGTAAATAAAAACACGGCAACTGTCCTATCCGTTACGCGTGGAATGGCTCTGTAGTAGTAGGTATTGTCGGAAATATCGGCAATAAACAGTTGTAGAGTATCCCTAGACATAGTCTGTGTTAAAATATGAGCTTTTAATATCAATATTTAGAGGTCGCTCATCGCAATTTTCTATTTTTATTTAGGAGATTTTTGTTTGTTTGTTCGAATTCTTTTAACTCAGAAACTATTTATTTCACAGGATTCAGACTAACATAAATTTAAAGGAAATTTTATGCTCTACAAAAAGGTTATATTAAAGATTCACGTAAGTCCAGTCATATCAATGATATCACGATTAAATGTCCAATATTTTTAACATTTTAATTAACTATTTACAAATATTGTGTAGAATATTGATCAAAAACTTTTAATAATTAATAATAATTGATAATTTGTGAAAACGTCCTGTATATACAGGGTGAATCGGAAGGATCGCACTAAACTCTAGGACTGCATTCTACATATCAAAATAATAAAAAAAACTCAACTGTTCTTATCCGATTCTTATTTGTTTTCAAGTTATAGCGAAATTTAAAAAAATTAATTATTATCTAATGTTCTTTGAAAAACTATGGAAACAAAGTTTTTGTTTCCATAGTTACATATACATAGTGTTTACATTTAAAAGGCCTAACTTTCAGCGTCAGTGGTATTTTTGTAATTTTCCAGTTTAAATTTTTTTAAAATACCAAAAGTTTATTCTAATTTAGAGTATGCTAATATGGTTTTTGTTTATGGCTTTTGCAATGGCAATGCCACAGTTGCTGTAGAAGAATATCGGCGACGTTTTCCACGTGAAAGGGTTCCTGACAAAAACGTGTTTATTCGAGTTTTTAACAAACTTTGCGAGATTGGAACTCTTCCAAGTGCTAAAATAACATCTGAAAAAGCTGATCAACAAACTTTAGAAGAAGTGGAAAATATTTTGGATCTATTGGAAGAAGACGCAACGACCAGCACCAGAAGAATCGCTACTCAATTGGACATTTCACAAAAACGGGTAATACACACACTTCACGAGCAAGGCTTAAACCCATACCATTTACAAAGAGTACAGTTTTTACACCCGGAAGATTATGCTAAACGTGTGAAATTTTGTCGGTGGGTAACTAACAATCGTAGAGTTGTATCGCGTATACTTTTTACTGATGAATCAACATTTACCAGTGACGGCATTAATAATACGCACAACTCTCACGTATGGTCTGACGAAAATCCCCGTGCTATAGTCGAAACCAATTTTCAGCACAGGTTTTCAGTAAATGTGTGGTGTGCTATGATTGTTGGGTATTTAATTGGCCCTTTTATCATGGAGAATCGCCTCACAGGGGAACACTACCTTAATTTTTTAATAAATGAGTTGCCAGGATTACTAGAGAATGTCCCTGTAAACGTAAGAAGGCGAATGTACTATCAGCATGATGAAGCACCTGCACATTTCGCTCGTGAGGTCAAACAACACTTGGATGAAATGTTTCCAGAGCGTTGGATTGGTCGCTGAGGTCCAATTAGTTGGCCTCCAAGAAGTCCAGATCTAACACCACTAGATTTTTGTTTATGGAGTTGGTTTAAAACAGAAGTTTACAAAGTTAAAGTGAAAAATCTAGAGGCACTAATTCAACGAATAATTAATACTGGCGCAGTTCTTAAAGAAAAACAAGAGTTAATAGGACAAGCAACAGGCGCTGTTCGCAGACGTAGCAGAGCATGTTTAGAACTCAATGGGGGTATTTTTGAACACCTTATAAAAAGTCATAACTATTAAACAAATGTTACCGTTTCATTTTATTTATTTTTAATTACACTATAACTTCAAAACAAATGAGAATCGTTTAAACTATTACTGGTTAATTAAGTTAAACCAATGCCTATTATATTATAATATTATTTTATCCTTCAGTGAGTATATGGGTGGGTAATATTTGGTTATCGAATGAACATCTAATGGAGTGAGAAAAACTTAAAATATGTCACATTTTAAGTTTTTTCCACACCATTAGACGTTCAGGCGGGTTTGGGTTTATATCGATTCTGAGGCGAGCAATAAACACTTTTGGCCAATTCTTACACTTTTTGTAATTTTTACTATATAAATGTTGATTTTACTACTTGGGTGGTAAGACGTTTTAAATGAATTATAAGAAAAAACTATAAATTCTATCATATAGAATAGAATATATATATATAATATATTATATATATATATATCTGCCTTAGGTTTCCACGGGCGTAAGGTATACCTATGTATTAATGGTTTTCCGGGATCTGCTCCGTGTTGTCGGTTTTTGGTTCTTAAAAGAACCGTATGTCTGACGACGTTTCGGTACAATTTTATGTGCCATCTTCAGGTCTTATCTGCTGGGCTGCTGTTGCTGCTCTGCTGCGAGTTAAAGTTAAAAGATTTAATCTATGGTTTTATAAGTTTCTGACAAGGACTTCCTATATTTGCATCGGTCAAGTCTAAAGTTAAATAAATAAGCTGTTAATAAATGTGACACTTTTTAATATTGTTGTTTGTTGTCATGATAATTATTATTAATGATTATTAATTAATAAATCTAACAATTAGTTCGCAATGTTGCCATTTAAAGGAAGTATGAATAAAACATTTTTTCTACTCCCACCTTTAAAACGCTCTTTAACGTACATATGTCCATGACACTGGCGCTTTAGTCACGGGCTAAAGTTAGTTTTAAGTTAGTTGACAGTTGTAAAATGTCATACAATCGTTAAAATAAAGTGCCTTTCTTGTAAAATAATACTAAATGTGAAAATTATTATATTATCTCAATACAAAAATACAAAAGTATTAAATAGTTTCTCAACGCCAATATTTGAAAAGTTTATATGAACATTGTACTGACCTTTTAATTTCGCCGGCAGTAAACTATAACTCAAATTCGGGCACGGACTCCACTGTAAAGTGCTCATAAAACATTTTCTTTACTTTCACTGTGAAAAAGTGTCAATTTTCAAGAAATACATTACGATTTATAATCTGTGTTTATAAAATATAAAAATTTGACATTTGACGTTGACTCACAGATTCCTCTATTGTTTCTATAAAAATTTTTGATTTAAATTATTTTACGCAATGTTTTCATTTAAAGAAATCATTAATAAAACATTTTATATAATTTTGGAATTATAATTTTTTTATTTTAATAAATTAAAATAAATTTAAATACTCCAAATTTATTGTTGAACAAAACAAGAAAAATGGATACCAACTAAATGTAAGCAAAACACTTTATTAGGTCATAATAATTATAATTGTTAGCTTTTACCTTTGTACTTTTAATGTGTAAAACTCAAGCAAAATAGCGTTAAGTATAATTAAAAAGCAATTTATCTAAATGGGTGTTGCACAATAAGCCTTTTCTTTATACCTAAAAAGCCCTGAAACTTGAAAGACAATTCATTATTTTCTTTAGTAGGTATATTTTTATTCCTTTGAAACAAAAATATAATGAAAGAAACCGAACACTTCGTAAAATATAATTTCTTTTTTGTATTTCGAAAATACAGGGTGTCCAGAAATAACGTTAATATATTTCAGGGGGTGATTCTACACCTCGTCACCCTAATATTACAAGGTTGTATGTCATTATTTTTGCACTTTCCGACTTAATAATATAACAAGGTTGTATGTTACCAAATCTTTCTTTTTCAAGCAAAACATAGATGGAATTACCCATATTAAGTAAAATATTAGGAAAATTACGAAGGTGCATGTGCATAAATATGTTTAATAAAACCAACAGAGGTGTATGTTTAACATACACCTTTGTTATATGTAAATACTTTGGAAATAAATTAACATTAACAAGGGTGTATGTCCATTAGGGTTGTCAAAGACATTTTGTGAGAATTTACCTTAATCACAAAAATGACACAACCAACAATACTTGTGTAACGTCAAATTTACAATTTGCATTGTTCTTTGTTTCTGACATACAAACATTTTAACGCAACTTTATGTGCTATTAAAGTGAGATTCTGAGTTCTGTGTGACATCTCATTTACAAGTGCTGTAATTAATTTGTTAATAATTAAATAATAAAAACATGGATGCCCAAGGTAGATCTAGAATATTACAAAGCGATTTTACCAAAGCAGAACAGTTCAAGCGTCCAGGCGGCAGTAGTAAATAAAACAGGAAAAAAAATGAAAAAGTGATTTTACCAAAGGACAAACTAAAACGGAAGTAGTTAAAAATTTGAAACAAAAAAAAGCACAAAAAACACAAAAAAATTGAATAATCATGCTAATTTCTATTATAACTGTATTTTTTTATTATAACATTTGTTTAAAGTTTTTGTATTTTAAATATTTTTCTTTTGTAGTTTTTATTTTTTCAGTTTAGTTCTAATTTTGAAGTATACGGTAATTAAAATATTTAAGTTAATTAAAATGTCATAGTTCTATGTAACCTAAATAATCAATAAATATAATTAAAAAAATTTACAAAGTTGTATGTTTTTTTCAAAATTTTACTAATTTTGAATATAACAACAATTGAGTCAAAATAAACATAAGAATTTACTAAGATTGCATATGAAATCAGCTCAAAGCAAAATCACAAGTAAAAAATATTGACTGTACCTAAAGGCTGATGGGCTTTTTTTGTTTTACGTTTTACTCAAAATATGTAAATATATTTACATATTTTGAGTAAAACTATATTTACATATTTTGAGTAAAACTACTATAGTAACATGCAACCTTGTAATATTTCACCGTTTTCTCTAACTGATCGGTCAAATAAACTGACAAGTTAAAAGGTAACAGGAGATTAGTGTCCAAAATCTTGCACCGTGATTTTTTTACTTTGGTTTAAAATTTAACTACAGATCTAGGGAATTTGACTAAAAAATTGAAAAGATTGGTGCTAATAACTAACTTCACACTTATTTGTGACGCAAATATATTTTGACGTTAAGAGTTCGATTCTTTATAATCTGTGGTTCGATTCTATTTCATGTACGACTGAATCAGTTGATGGTAAGAGAGAATAATATGGATACAGAACCTGAAAAAAGGGGGCGCTCCTCAAATTTTTCAGAAAATAAAAAAAATCATTTAATAAATCTTGTGGATACAAGGGTATCATTGAAAACAAAGAGACATATAGGGCTAAAACAATTAGAGCAGGAGATTAACAATAAAAAGAATAAAAAAGAAATGACTTTCGGATTTAAAAATTTTAGAAGAAAAAGAAAAACTTAATATATTTATTACAGGGTGTTATGTAATTAATGTTATATATTAAAATACTGAATACCTTTTGACATAAGGAATAAAGGAAAAATATTTAAAAAAACATTTTTCCAAAGATAAAGAAAAAATATGCATTAGAAGTTTTTTATATTTTTTGTGATACGCCACTGGTTACACACTTGTTTATCTCTGCACACCTGTATTTTGTGAGTACATAGATACCAACCAACAAAGTAGCTATGCGTTGCCAGATGTAAAAAATTGTTACTAAAAATTTTTCTTGCAAAAAATAAATAATAACTCAATAAATACAAAAGTTTTATGCCCTTAAAGCTCTAATACCCTTATGTGGGCGTTTCTCTGTAAACTGGGCAACTTGAAGTAAGAAATTGTCTAGGCAAGTTTTTTTGTTATATTTTTGTTGTATTTAATAAATGTTATTCAAGGAATATATATCGGTCTATTTATTAGTATACGGCAGATGAACCAAAAATATTCCTATTACTTTGGAAAACATTGAGCATTTTCTGAAAAATCTATACAGGGGACTGTTTATAAAATCCGGAGACAAAGTTTAGATGACTTTTTAAGAATTACAAAATAATAATTATAAAAAATAAATAAGTCACAGTAACAAGCAAACAATATTGGTTGAATAATTAAACAATTAGGTTGATTCCAATAGTTACTGTCTTTAATTAATTTAGTCTGAAGTGACCATTTTGATTTGGTGACACGTCAGGGGACTGGTTTTTAAGGACTATAAAAACGATTTTGATACATTAAAGTTTATTTTATTGGATTTTGAACGTCGAGCATAGGTAGATTAGGATATTTCTTTTGAAGTTATCTACGAAATATTTATGATCTGTTATTTTTCTAAACAATACTAGCTTGAGACAATGAGTTGCCCAGTTTACAGAGAAACGCCCATGTATTTATTTACTGATCCAGCTATTAGCTTAAGCAATGATTAGAAAATTTAGTACCTTTGAAATTTGAAATCCATAACCACAAAATTAATTTTTTCATCAGTTTTTTTCTCTGTTTACTCAGATGAAATTGGGACCAGTTCACAGGTTAAACTTTAGACATTTAATTTGTGTAAATAAATCCAAAAGCACTTCCCTTAGTTAAGATATTTACAATTTGAAAACATAACCTAAAATTTAAAAGAAATGCACTAGATTCTGTCATAAAAGTTGGCAGATTTTGTTTGAATTTACCTTCAGTACAAAAATGAAATAACCAACAATTAATAAAAACGCCAAATTGACAATTTGCATTGTTAATTTTGTCATTTTTGTAATTAAGCTAAATTTAAACAATTTTTGTCAACTTTTTTGAGAGATTTTGGAAACACTGTTGTTACCAACCATAACATAATAAATCCACCAGATTAACCTAAAGTTCCTAGTCGATCAGTGGCGTACTTTTTGGTAGGATAATAGGTTATTATAAATTATTTTTAGACTTTGGAATTTAGAAAAAAAAAATTCAGGTGCTTCTTTATGGACCCTAAGGAACAACCCATTTTAATATATAACATTAATTACATAACACCCTGTATAATAATAAACAAGAAGTGACTATTTTATTTTAATTTTAAATAAGTATAAATTAAATAAAACATCAAAAATATTATACACATTAAATTTTATAAATTCGCAAAATAATCTTGTATTAATTGATTTTGAAACATAATGCGATCTTGTGGATGAGTAACAACAGGGTACTCCAGTTCATGGTATTAATATCATCAGGCAATGGCGGCTCTGGTTTATTCATATCTCTAGCAATATTATGTAGCTGGAATAATGGACAAAACTGTATCTAGTTTTAATCTTAAGCCATACACCAACACTGGAAACCTTCTTTCCCAAATTCCAAATACTCTTTCTTTGGGTGGCCCAAAAAAAAAGAATATTTTTTTTCTCTCGTCTCTTGTGAAAATATTTTGGTTTGTAATGTTTTAAGAGCCCTGTCAAAAGATCAGCTCCATTAAAAAAATTTTAGGGGTCGCTCAAGATTTTTAAAAATTTCCAAAATCGTCAAAAATTGGATTTTTTTTTATTTTAATTTTTTTTCTCGTTCCGATATTATTTTTTAATTTAAAAATAATAATGATTCTGAAAATTTCAAATCGATATTTTGATTTGTAAAGGTCGCTCAAGATTTTTTTAACGTTTTTGAGCGACCTCTGAATATAAATTCAACGAACTTTTAGCGACCTTTAGAAATCAAAATATTGATTTGAAATTTACAGAATTTTTATTATTTTCAACCAAAAAAATAATATCGAGACGAGAAAAAAAATTAAAATAAAACAAAAATTTAATTTTTGACGATTTTGAAAATTTTAAAAAATCTTGAGCGACCCCTAAAATTTGTTTAATCGAGCTGATATTTTGACAGGGCTCTTACAGCATGATAAACTAACATATTTTTATAAGAGAGGAGTAAAAAAATATATTCTTTTTTTTTGGGCCACCCTACTCTTTCTATTATATTTCTGGTTCTTAGTAGTGACTCATTATAGAGTTGCTGAACTCTATACCTATAACTATAGTTATTGGATTTGCTAAAGATGTCAATAAATAATATCTTTGAAAAAAAAAGATCTTGAATACCGATGACTAGTACTTTTGAGGTTATAAATCGTTAACGGTGGATTAAAGTAATTTAAACCACCGAAATTGGGGGTTTATTTTAGCAGTAGTTTAGGGGTATTTAAACAAGGATTAATTTAAGGTGCAGTTATGAAAAATAAACCTGTGTTAATAATAAAACCACTGTTAAACTTACGGTGCAAGTAGCCATTAAATGTCATAAGACGTCATTTTGTCGCACGCGGACAATTTGTAATGGACGATGATGTCAATAAAAACACAAACAAATTTAAATGATTAGGCGATTTTTATTATTATTATTATTTAGGCGATTTCTTTCCCAAAAATTGCCCCAAAATGTATACACCTATTTATATTGGAGGGTAAATCGCGTAAATTTACTTAATTTCTTCAATTAAAATTTGACTGCGCTGCCCTAGTAAATAATTGTCAGTTTGCGGTCAGTTACGCTAAAACTAAATTTATTTAATTGCGCAAATTCGTCCATTTGATTTACACAAGTTTTAATTACAATCAGTTTAATTATATTATTGAACATTTTTAAAAGTGGACATCGTTAACGTTTTTTTTTGTTTTAGGACCCATTTTCACAATTGTTTCTCTTTTGTATAGCCTTAATAGCTGTGTGAATCCATGGATTTACTTGGCATTCAACAGAGAATTGCCCAAATATCTTTTAAGGCATTATTTTGCCTCCAATAAGAAGTACAAATCAACAGCTTTGGGTGAGTTTAACTTTTATTTTATGTCTAGAAAATTAATAAACAGCAAAACAATGATTATCGCATTTTACTACCGCTTTTTTTCCCGATTTAAATTACATTTCTTAATTTGAACAAATTACAAATTAATAAAAAATAAAAGAAAATCGAAATATTTTTTATTGCATGGTTTAACCAGTGCAACTAATCCCTGTGCATTCGCCATTTTTTTAAGCACAAGTTATAAAATTATATAAAAATTCGAGATTAAAAAAACAAATACTAGACTTATCACAAAATATTCTGTTTTTTAAGCATTTCCAGAGCCATATAATTATGTCATTTAATTAAATTGAAACTCAAACAAATTTATTTTTTGCCAAAAAAAGATGCTTGCGTGATAGTATTAGCAAAAAATGTATACTTAGGTAATTTATTTTTTATTACTCACTTTGAGTTTAAAAAATGTTTGATAAATTTGTTTTCAGTGAAGACTTTTTACCAATGTGTGCGTTTGTGCCTTTGTACCTTTGCACCTTTTATAATATAAAATTGGTTTTCAGTAAAACATTTTAATGGTTTAGTGAGATTAAAGCCCTGAAAATATCTAAGTATTTATATCTTGATAATGACAAACTTTATTTAAATTTTTCTTTTTTCTGCTCCCACCTTATTATATATAGTTAAATGGAATTTATCAAACTTATACATATTGTACTATTAATTAAAAATTTAAATATTGTTTTTTTGTAAAAGATTAACATTTTAATTTTATTTAGGGTAAACCACATAGTTATTGGACACTTAAGGAATATTATTTATTTAAAATTTATATATGCCGTTTTTTTAAAGATTTTAGTTTTTTTCTTATAAATATATAAAAAGGATAGTTTGTTTGTTTAAACTTTATTTGCGTTTCCTTAAAAATATATAAATATATATAAAAACATGCAAAAAAGTATACTAATTGGACATTTTATATAGTAATTGGACACATGGACCATATTTATTGGACATACAATTTTTATATAAACATAACAACATTACCTACATCAAATAACATAAATTGTTAAATATTTTTTTAAATATTTTTTTTAAATATCATATAGGTAATTCATATATTTCTTTCTTGGATTCCTTATCCCTTTTCTGGATTCTGAAGGTAACTACTAATTCCTTGGTCTGACTTCTAAAATAGTTTGTTGCAAATATCATTAAGTTTATGAAACATTTATAATGTTTAGGCCGGAACAGGATGATTTATATATATATATATATATATATATATATCCAATATTTCTTCGGGTGGTATGTTAAAAGTATTTTCCGAATTTATTAATTTTGTTGCCATTCGTTTTTTATGTCTCTATCAGGCACTGTCACTGTTATCTGCAAGATGTCCTTTGACGAAGAAATCACAATTTTACTTACTCTCTAAAAATGCATTAGTCAAAAATATCATAGCGAAAAAGCAGCCACTAATAATTCTCGTCAACAGCAATTTGCATCCAGGACATTTAGCAGTCAATTCCTATGAAATATTATTCGCTGAATCCGAAAATGTCGTCAAAAGTTATGAAAGTAGAACAGTTTTTGAAATATAATCAATTTTACATATAATATGGAATTGACCATATCTCAAAAACTGCTTAACTTTTATAGTTTTTGACGGTCTTTTCATTCAGGGGACAATTTTACAAAATAATTGGCTGGTAAATGTCCGAAATCAAATGGAGTATGATATTGGACATATGTCCAATAATATAAATTTACATTTTTTACCAACCAGTAATTGGACACTGCCCATTTTACTGTTTGTTTTCAGAATTAAAATTAAAACGCATTAAAGTGACAATGTTTAAACCATGAGGAACACATTTATACCACACACTGATCGGTAGACTTTTTAGAAATATTTTTTATTGTAATTTATACACAGCCCTGCTCATATTGGACCCAAAATAAAGTGGTTCTATATTATTACCGACTGAGATACAGTAGAAACCACGAATATATGAACGTGACTCATCAGGCACAATCGTACAAGCCGTATTACAGCCGGAAATTCTTCTTGCAGCAATTTTTCTTGCAGCAATTTTTCTTGCCATCTAGTTTTCAAGGCCGTCTTGCATGTTGTTTTACAGCCGGCAATGGCAAGAAAACTTGCTGTTTATTACCGTGCTACCAACCGAAGAAAAATATACGATTTTGTAAACACTAAGTTTATTTGTTATTTAGTAGAGATATTTAAAAATTAATGAGTGAAATGGATACTAGAACTTTGAACACAATGCCAATCATAAAACAAATAATCTTAAACTGTTTGTCAAACAGCGTCTCTCTAGGGAATTTGTAGTAGGGTTGGTAACATAAAAGTTACGGCAATAAAAATCCATCCGGACCGATTTTCGGCAATTGCAAGAGATTCGTCAAAATGTATCTACCGCGCATGCCTGTGGCAATTTTCATTGCAATTGCCGAAAGAATTGCCGGCTGTAATACGGCCTTACGAAACAATCTATCGAAGGTCACGGTCCAGTGCAGTGCTGTTCTAACGGGAGCATAAGTATTTGTAAAAAATCTTGAGTGTAATGTTGGTTGCTATACTTCTGATATATTTGCTTTTAAAGTTAAATTTTAATAATTAACATCTACGATAATTAAATAAAATGTAATTTTCTTAGAAACTAATTAATAAATAAACTTTTCTTTTAACTTTAATGAAATATTCTATCATCTGATGACAGAATGTACACTCGTGTCGACATCTCTGTTTTTAATATCTAACAAATTTTAGACCGATCCAACCTCACTTTCTTCCAATTAAATTCTTTGTCTATGGTATTTTTTGGAAACGTAGAAAAATTATAGTCTGAAACACGTTTGGAATTGCATATTCCCCTCTCGTGAAACCGTCAAACTCGCCTTCGGCTCCTGTGACAGACTTTTCACTCGAGCGGAATATGCCGTATTCCAAACTTGTTACAGAATATACTATTCTTTTAACTGTAAACGCAAATATTTTAGAATTGGTGACAAAAAAACAAAAATGTTTACGCAGGTCAGGTACAAAGTGAAAGATATTTAAATTGTGTGGATATAAAAACAACTTGCGTTAGTTTCACGAAATTTATTAAATATTGACAATTGTTTCGCTACACAGTAGCTTCTTCAGAATGTATTAAACTAATACTAGTACAAAATTTATATAATAAAAATATTTTTGTATTCTAGCCTAGAATTTCTGTTTAAGGATTTTTATACGACATCTACCTGTGTTACATAATATAAACCAATGCCACTACAACGTTTAAAACGATTATTAATCCGTAAACACACACCGTTTATTTAAAGTCCAAAAAACGTACAATAACAATTGCAATAAAGTCCAATAAACATGCAATAACAATTCCAATAAAAACCACTAGAACTACAACGTTTAAATCGATTATTAATCCGTAAACACACACCAGAAACACGATATGCAAAAACAAAGATTATATGACATATAAAAACAAATGGCCGACGGTAAAGTTGGTTGCCTTACTATGTAATAAAATAAAATAAATGCCTAAAACACGAACTCTACTGAATATAAGTAATAAGCTAGGACACGCGTCATATGTCCATCTTTGTCCAACACCTAGGCAGTTTTACATCACAGATGGCGCATTTTAGACCGGATGCTTAAAAACCGCTGCATCGAATGTACAAGTAAAACATTACTGCTAGCATGTCTGAGATATGTTCGGCACCCGATGAGTCACGTTCATATATTGGTGGTTTCTACTGTAGTTATAATTGTATACAGCGTTATCTAATGATTTGACTTTAATGTAACTATTTATAGAACTCTTGTTTTTACAGTATTAATGTTAATTGTCCAAAAACTATAAAGTGTCCGATATCTGTCTATTTTACCCTACCTATATAAATAACATTTATTTTTACAAATTGTGTCATATTTTACTGATAACTTGCTTATAACAGTAAAGTAACAAAACAACTGGGGCCCGAGTCAACTTTTCCATTAACCATAACCCAAACATTTTGTACTTTTATTTTTAAAAATTACTTTTTTCAAAATAAACGAGATATTTTTGTTAGAAACATGTATGCTTTTACGCCACTGTTTTTTGTTACATACAGTGTTGATTGCAGAAAAAAGTACTTATTTCTTAAATCCCTAGTGGTAAGCGGACGGTTGAGATTTGTAAGAAATACCTAAGCTGGCAAACATTTTTTGAATAATTTTTTACCCTTTTTTTCACACCCATTGAAATTTTGCGAAAGCTGCTGCATAAGTGTTGACGATTTATGCTTCAAGGAGTAAGTTTTAGTAAAAAAAGTTATAACATACAATAAATGCAAATTTTACTGTGTAACTTTCAGTTATGTTAACATACCTTGCCATTTTATTTATACCAATCCTCGTTAATATATTTTTATGAAAAAAAAGTTTTTATTAAAAGACTTTATAATGGGGTTTTCATAAAATTAAAAAGTGTTTATAAAAGAAATGTTTATAAACTTTCTTAAAATATTACATTTCAAAGTCAAACTTTTTCAGTTTTTTATTTTATATTTATTTGTTAGCATATAATTTTCAACAAAATATTTAATATTCACTACTAGATGTAAAAACTTTTAGTTTAGGGTTTAGTAAAGTATGTCTCTTAAGCGTTCTCCAAATACTTCACATACATTTTTAAATGAATTTGTTTACTTTTGCCGGTATTCCGTATAAATATTAATTTTATTATAACAATTTTTTCATGCCTACAAATATTTATAATAAAAATGATTGTATATTTAAGCATAAAAAGGTTCATAAAATTTTTATTTTTACCTCAACTTTAAATACGAAATATTTACATTTAAAAATTACATTACAACACAGCGTATCGCTTTAATATCCATTTTTGAATACAAATTAATGAAATCAGTGAAATATTCAAATTTCATCTGTGTACCTACATAATGTGCAACACATTTATAACCAAATTATATCTCATTGTGATTTAGTTCTGTTTTAAGTTGATAAAACAAGAGCTAAATTTAAATTTGCTTTTTAACACAAATTTACATTAAATTATACACGTTTACAAGTTTTTAAATTATATTTAACTTAACTTTAAATAAATTTGTTGTGTGCACACCATGGTTTTGTTTGTATTAAATTATTAAATAAAGTTTAGTTTGCCACTTAAATATTCTTATATTTGTAATTTGCTTTAGGCAACCACAGTGCAAGCAACTCTTCCGGCGAGGTTCAAACAACTTCGCTAAGAACTTTCTCAAGGTATTCAAGAACCAACAGCCGAAACAAATTTTCCAATAAAGTGGTGAATCAGGGATACACTTCAAAGTTCGACACCAAAGAATGGATCGTGGCCACTGCCACCTAATATTTGGGTGATGGTTGCCTATCTTCTTCTATTTAAGACTTGTTTACTTAATTGTATCAATTAAATTATTATTATATTATTTAATTGAAAATGAACGATGCTAGTTTTATATTTATGTACAAAATATGTTTTAAGTATCTATTTTTATTGTAAGTATTTATATTAAATGTTGTTTAAATGAAAAGCTATTTTATTAAAAAAATAAATGTTTGCCATTGCCAGACTTATCAGTAAATAACGCGTATAATATATTATGTGACCCATATTCACTACTGTATTCTGGGTTGCCTATATACGAGGTGTGTCCAGAAAATATCGTGAATTTTCGTTTTTTAAAACAGATATTTATTTATTTGTCTCCATTAATATTGTCGCCTTCAAAATAGTCCCCATTGAATATTATGCACATGTGCCAGCTTTTCTTCCAATACTCGAAACACTTCTAAAACTCGATCTTTGAGATAGCCTTTAGTCCTTTCAGCGATGCGCTTTTAATGTTTGCAAAACGACGGCCCTTTAAGGTTCTCTTTATTTTTGGGAATAGGAAAAATTCTGACAGAGGCATGTCTGGTGAATATGGAGACTGGGGCATCATTACAGTATTGTTTTTAGCCAAAAATTTTGTTCAAAATTTAACAATTTTAGAACAAATTTTGCTGCCACGCGTTTCATACCCAAAACATTCGATATACCAACATCATCAGCAACTTCTATGATAGTTTATAACCATTTATTTCACTTTTACCATGTTTTTATCGGTTGTTAATGTGCTTGTGCGTTCGGGGCGTTCTTCATCTTCAACGTCTTCAAGGCCATCTTGGAAACTCTTATACCACTTGTAAACTCTTGTTTTACTTATAGCAGACTCACTATAGGCCTTTGTTAACATTTCAAAGAATTTATTTCATTTTTTAAGCAAAATTGGATCCAAATTCTTTGATCCATTTCTTTTAACGAACGAAAAATCGCCGAGCTCATAAAACACGTCTAACCTTAGCGGCTGCCACAGACAAAGTAAACAATGAAAACAGCTAAAGTTTTTATCATACTTCGGGGGCATACCAACATAATAAAGAAAATTTTATGACAACCGTACCCTCTGAACCAGCGAAATTTAACAATTCCCGTTATTTTCTGAACACACCTCGTACATGGCATTTAGTTTCGTGTAGCATTGTTGCCAGGTTGGCGATTTGAGAACCGCCAAGCAACTAAAAATGTTAAATTGTTAATATTTTTTTATTAAAAGACGTATCTTGTTTTTAAATTTTCTGCTTTTAACTCTTTGTAGTAACTTAATTTTTCAATTTTATATTTAAAATTTAAAATGGCAGGTTTTACAAAACATTGTTTATCTTGGAAAGGTTTTTTGAATAAAAAGTTTTAACATAATAACATTATCTTAAAAGAGTTTTATTTTTATTTAATGTAAGGATTTTCACTTTTATCGATGAAGTTGTCCATTGGAGAAATTTTGTTGGTAATTCTGGCGACTTTTAAAAATAACAACTGGCATCACTGTCGAGCACGTGGTCACAATCAAAGAACACAAAGAAAGAACTTTGGTCACAATATTATTTGATGTTCAATTGTCATCAGTTACAAACTGTGTGTGTTCTTCTATAGACATTAATCATGACATCATTGAACGAAAAAATTGATATTATAAAAAAACACATCAAAGTTTATCCCGATTTTCCCAAAAGAGGAGTTTTATTTAGGTAAATAGCTTTGGTTTTATATTGCGATATTTATTATCTGTATCTCAAAAACAGCAAAATTAACATAAAATAAAATATAAATTGTGAATTTAGGGACGATTACAATACATTAATGCACGATATTTTTAACAAATCTTTATCGAAAGATATGGAATACACAAATTGAAACAACAATTAACGAAACAATTTTAACAACTGAGTAATTTTTGTAGGTTAGAGTAGAGAACAGTTGAAGCTGGCTTTCGACCAATCATGCGCCGTTAAATTACTACGTCATTACTTTTCCTCCCTAGGGATGCAAAACCACTTTCGCATTGAAAATCGATCTTTTGATAAAGGTATTTTTAAAATGAAACTAGTGTTTTAAAATATTTTTACCAAAATTACGTTTTAATAGTTGTTTTCAAATGTTTGATTAGTATAAAAAACAATAGTTTATTTTTTTGAGATTTTGATTGTTTCAAGAAAGTCCATCGGATCCTATAGTTTCATATTTTCAGAGATATATTTTCGGTCTTACTGGAACCTGAAATTTTTCAAATCCTAAAGGATGTTATTGTGGAAATTGCAAAAGATATTAAACGAAAGAATGATTACAATTGCGTTGTCGGTTTAGATGCCAGAGGATTTATTTTGGGCCCCCTATTGGCATTGGAGTTAAACCTTCCATTTGTTCCAATAAGAAAAGTAGGAAAACTGCCTGGCGATACGTATCAAATAAAGTATCAACTTGAATATGGAGAAGTATGTAAAAACATCTACAATAATATCATATAAAGTTTTTTTAATTTAATTTTTAAGGCCATTTGTGAGATTCAAAAAGACAGCATTAAACCTGGCAGTAAAGTTTTAATTGTCGACGATCTTCTGGCAACAGGTGGTACTTTGGAAGCAGCTAGGCAACTGGTATTACTAAGTGGCTCTAGTGTTGTCGCCTGTTTTATAATAATGGAACTGGCAGATTTAGCAGGAAGGAACAAGGTTCAGGCACCAGTGGAATCTATCTTGCAATTTTAGAAATAACACAATTTTTTATATTTGTATTTGTAATTAGTATTATTAAATTGGTATTTTATATATTTTTATGTTTTATCTCTTAATCTTAATCCTTAGTACTTTAATTTTGATTTTAAATTTTTAATAACGGAAAGATAAGATTTTTTTTTTCAATTTCCTATGGCGGTATTTTTCAATACCATAACATCCCAGCAAGCACAAACATCCTCAGGACGTCCTTGGACCAGCCTAAATGTCCCAGAATGGGATGATCCTATAAGGACTTCCTGAGGACGTCCATAGGTTGACCTTATCGGACATTAGATCTTTTTTAGGTCCCATTTTGGGATATCCTAGGAACGTCATTTAAGGATGGCGTTAGGACCTAATAATATCCTAATTAAAGCCTAAAATGGGCTGATCATAGGACTAATCCCAGAGACATCCTCAGAATGTCCTGTTAGGTTTTGGTAAACATTTGGTATGCACATTTTTCTATAAGAATATTTTATCCATATAATTAATAATACCTAAATTTTTTTACATAACTTATTTTGCATCGGCACATCTCAAAAATGTCAATCAATATAATTATAATATTATATTATACATATTTTTTTAAGCTTATAAAGGACTTGCATACTATATTTTTTCTACGACAATCACAAAAATTAAATAACTTTCAACAATTATATATAAATAATTATTTATAAAATCTGACATCGACCAGTCTATTCTAACCTCACTTTTTAGACCCTTTATTTTGATGGTCATTGTTTCGCAGTTGACAACTGCAATTAACTTCAACCCATGACTAAAATGTCCGAATGCCATTGCTGCCAACTTCAGTCCGTGACTAAAACGTCATAAAGCCACAACTTGTCAATGTTTATTTAAAATATCATGGAAACATGTACGATAATCGGCGTTTTAAAGGCGGGAGTTTAAAAACAATATTAGGTATATTATATTATATTTTGTGTATTTGTATGACCACAAAATATATTTTGTATACAACTGGATAGCAGCCAACTTAATACGCATGCGCAGAAATGACGGCTGGTAATTAATAATTGTTCAAACACCTTGTTTGTAAGGTATTGATACATTTAGAGTTTTATAAATAATAAATAAGGTAGTAAGCGTCAGTTAACCTTAAAAATGTAATTACAAACGCAATCTATAACTTATTTAATAGTTTGTGTTACCGATTGTTTTAAATTTGCCGCCATACGTTATGGTGGTAACTATTGTCTATGGTGGTAACACTGGATGGAGAGAAAGCTAAGATGACGTATAGCGTCCTTTAGTTGTTTGACGCCTTTTTGTTAGAAAGAATCATAGATAACACTGTGAAAGGAATTCTTTGTCTGTGCGGTGAATTCTTTTTCTGTGTCGTAAACCTGGTTTAAGGCCGTGAATCTCGTGTTCTCCAAGTGTGTTTGTTATAATATAATATTATTATAGTGTTGGATATTTCAACAACAATCAGAAAGTTCCAGTGCTTATTAATTGTTTATTTTTAAGTTTAGGGTAGTTGCTATAATAATTTTTTGTTCCATATTAAGTTGTCTTTTCATTTAATAAAATGTTATTTTTGTAATTACTGTCTTAACCATTTTAATCAGAAGAAAAAATGCCACTAATTTGCTAATTTAACCGACTTTGTAGCTGCAATAATAATGGAGTTAAAATGGTGAGCAGATAACTTTGGACACTGCGTATAAATAATATAACTATTATATTTATTTAGAAATATTATTTATTTTACTTTTATAACAGGTTTTTATTTTTTATTTTATATAATTGGCTGTGTAAAATTATATATATGTATATAGAATTAAAATAATATATTTTATAAAGTAATAAAATGGCATTTGATTGTTTAAAATGTATCCCCAACAAATAACAAGGCCATTCAGAGGATGTCCTCAGGACATCCCATTCCTGGACCTACATATACCCATGGGACTTTCAGGGGACATCCTTAGGATGTCCTATTCCTGGACCTATATGGACCTAGGGATATCCCTAGGATATCCTAAAGGCCATTTGCGGGACGTCTGTAGGCTGGCCTTTTTTGCACCACTCGGCCATGGTTGGGATGTCCTGAGGAGGTCTGAGGACGTCCTAGGATATCCTTGGGATATCCCAATATCCTGTAAGGCTTTCCTTAGGACGTCCTTAGGATAGACTTGTGCTAGCTGGGATAGGATCGATTCGTACATAATTAGATGCTCTTAAAGTACTACCTGTATACAGATTACAAAGTTGGTTATTCTATTGTTTTATTGCTGTCGCTCTACACATATTTAATTTAAATCATTTTTAGATAATAATCAGTATTTGTCGTATAAAAAGTATAGTATGCAACTCAAACTTGATATAAAAATCTATAACATTATTTGTTTTATCAATGCTAGACAGTAAAATCTTATAAACTATACCCACCCAGATAGCAGCAGCAGGTGACATCTCTAAGACCTCCAGTTTACGACGTAAGTCATCTTTAAGACGTCTTAAAGATATCTAATGTTACAAAACACACCGTCTTTAAGATGTTAAAGACTACCTATTAAAAACTCTTGGCATTGTTACATCGCCAAAACGTTTTAAAGGTGTTAAGTAATTAAAATGTAGCTAATAATGCTTTTAAACTTCTAAAAATAAAATATATACTTCTGTTGTTTCTATTACACCAAAATAAGACGGTACCTAATTATATCTTACTAGTGGCTGATTATGGGATATAATTTCGTTTTTGACTTGTCAAAATTCACTATTTTATTAAAAAATTAAAAAATACGATGTCCTTAGAACATTAAATAATATATCTTTAAGCAGCGGCGTAACTAGAAAAAGTGCCGCCCGGGGCAGCAGTGGCTGTCGCCCTCATGGTTTTTTTTGGGGGGGGAAGAGAGGTTAGGTTAGGAGTCAGTTTTGAGGACCGTACGCAAAATTAAAAATATATAATTATACAGGGTGTCCCAGAACTCGCGCCACAGAGAAAAAGGGGGCGTGCCGATAGCAATGGAGATGCCAAATTTAAAAATAAAAAATTTCTAGGTAATAGTGTAATCGAATGAGAGCAAAAAAGCGGCAGCCAATACCGAGAGCTCTCGCCTAGGTTAAACGTAAGAGCTTTAAAAATTGCTAGGAGACGATAGAACATTGTTGTATTAAAAACATTTAAAAATCTTTTGGCCAACTGTATTTACTAAGTTGTCAAAAGCTTTCAAAAATGAGGTTATTAATCTATGACTTATACTTCAGAACGCCAATGTTTTAAAAAACATTTAGGAAAGGGCTGGGAAAAAACTCGCGTTGTCTGCCTAGTGTTGCGCCCACACTAAATAAATAAATAATTATCATTTCAGTATAATCATCTAAGGAAAACATTATTTATAATAACTTAATTTATAACCTAATATAATATTAATGACAGGAGTTTGACAGCAGTGTCACAATGAATTGGATTCCAGTGGACCAAATATTTTACATATTTTTTATTATCAACAATGCAACCTAAGTATCCTAGCAATTTAAAGAATTCCCTATGGCCATCTATTGGGATTGGCTATCGTTTTTTATTCTTATCTCGCTTATCCTTTGCGTTAGACAATTTTAATTTTCAAATATGTGTTTCACGTTACTTTCGGCAAGTTCCGGTTTTTTCTGGGACACCCTGTATATATAAAATATATACATATATATATAACATTAAATTGTAATATTTTAAGAATTAAAAACAAACAAAAATTCTTAGACCTAGGTAAAGAAAAACAACAAATAAAATGTGCTTTAACATAATTTATATAAAAAAACCGGTCTTGTTTCTATTTTTTGCTAGCTTTAGGTATTTGATTTGGAATATTTTGGGAGTAATTGTATAAATCTCAAATCTATTGGAATTTGAATTATATTATTTCGAAAGAGAATATTTAATTATTAAATATTTTTTTTATTTTTATATTCTGTCTTCCAGTCTTTTTCGCATTTTCTCTCACGATTTTTGCCGCCCCAAGAAGTGCCGCCCGGGGCGGACCGCCCCCCCCGCCCCCCCTAGTTACGCTACTGTCTTTAAGACATCTATCAAAAGACGTCTTTCAGACGTCTTTTTTAGAACTTCAGCCGTTCAGGCATAATACACTGTTTAAAATATCTGTGGTGTAAAGAGTAATCTTAAAATAGTGTCAAAATCCAACACCAAGTGGTGTTAATATAACACCATGAATTATGGTTGAAAATGTTATATACAGCGGTGTTTATCTAAAAATATTTAAGAAGTGCACCTACACAGAGAAAAAGGAATAGTTCATTTAACTACTATCGCTAACAAAAAAAACTCATACAGCTTAAAAATCTAGTGTTCCTGATTTTCTATCATTTCGTTGGAGTAATTATGGCTTTTAACATGATACGTCACATTTGAAAGGTCTAAAATTAAATACAAAGTTAGGTTGAAGTTTAAAAAAAAATAATATTTCGTCATCCCTCTGTTTTTGTAAATTACTGCCCACAAACGGCAAAGCATGGAAGTCGCCGTCTTGCTTTATCTCGTTCCAAATGGCTTCAATGGCTTGCCAGAGTTCGTCTGCAATGTTTGGTTGAAAAAGTCGTAATGGATGTGACAAAGCTCGATGTCAGCTTGACATTGACGGAAAAGTTTTATTCACACAGCCACAATATAGGTGTATGAGTTTTTTTTGTTAGCGATAGTATATTAATTTAGTTGACCCATAAGTATTTATTTAAATTAACTGTGGGAAGGTTAATATAAACAAAGATTAGGTTGACGGTTCTAAACCAGATAGTTATTTTATTTTTTTTAAATTGGTTAAATTAACCCAGAAAACTTTAGTGAAACCAACCCGCTGTATGGTTCAGTTTACTAAATATGTTGTTTGTAAAATAAGAGTTACTTCAACCTAAAGCACTCTGTTAAAACGATTAAAACAATTCGCCGTGCATTCCCGGTTGCATAGTGTGTACCGATCTCGGCAAAGGCGGTGTGGATCACGTGATGTTCTTAAATCTCGCCTCTGTTGACTTACATGAAGAGTATATAAGCTCAGGTAGTCCTTTGCTTTGGTGTGACACTACTAAAGAGATATTAAATAGGTGGAAACAGCCGTCAATACTTGAAGTATTTTAAGTTGGTGGAACGCACAAAAATCATTATCTCTAGCGAGTTGAAGGTTCAATTTTCTGGAATAATACCACTGGTAATATACTAGTAATGCGTCAAGGAACTTCCTGTTTCCTTTTTTTTCCTTTTTTTCTGTGTAGTATGATTTAATTTGACCAAAAACACATAATATTTAACTCTGACACCAGGTAAAATTTATTTTAATACTGTGTGAAAGTTAAATTAACACTATTTTAGTATTAGAATTTACACCGGACCAACGAACCATATTTAACACCATTTTGGTTTGTATACAGTGTACAGACATACAAAAGACATCTTCAAGACGTTTTGTGCTATCTGTGCTATGTTTTCGAATAATTATTATTTGCTAAATTTGTTGTTGTTTACTTAATGAAATAAATTATCATTAAAACAAATAAAATGACCTTCTTTATAAATAAAAAAAAAATTTTAAAGTACAATATTTTTGGACACACTGTATGTAAAGAAAAACCCCCAACAAAGTCAATAATATCGGTTCTTAACCTAGTTTGGTAAAACCTTTCGGAAATCTCAACATACCGAATTTAAATTTATTGGACAAGATAAGATAGAAGTAACAATTGATTTTAATCTACGTGAATTATCTTTATTTGCACAGTGTCTTTATTTAAACGATACAAATTAACAATTGCCTCCTCAGTTCGTCGGCGGCGTTTGTTTTGTAAACGATCTCCATGGAGAACGGTGACGTGCTCCAGCCTGGGCTGTCGATAAGGCCCATAATTAATACCGACTGCGTAAAAGATTTGGTACGTGATCTATATGGGTTGGAGGTCGAGAAGATTAACGAACTAAATGGATACGATGATAAAAATTATCATGTTATTGGGAAAAATTGTACGGACAATGATAATATCAAAGAAGTTCGACGAGATGGCTATGTGGTAAAAATAATCAATCGATTGGATTCCCAGAAAACTGATTTTTTCAATGCGCAAACCAATCTGTTGATTTATTTAGGTAGGATGAGAGTTTGGTTACTTTATTTACTTTATGATTCAAAAAAACTATTTTTTTTTTAAATTTAAACATACATACAGGGTGAGTTTTAAGTTGACGCGTTCCTTTTAACAGCGTGTAGAAATCAGCTGGACAAATAAATATTTTAAGTAACTTTTTTATCAAAACTCAAAAATAAAAAAGTTATAGCCCATCAAAGTTTAATTAAATTTTAAGCCGGTCCTGGCTATTGTTAACGAAAAACATAACCATAAAAATATCAAAATAAACAATGCCAAATGTCATATTTGAAAACAAACATAACCATTTAAATCAAATTGACATTTTGCAATAAAAAATGTCATTATTTACTTAAGTTGCAACATTTGCATTTTGACGACACTCTCCATAAATTAGTAACATTTCCACTAATTCATTATTGCTATAATTATGAACCATTTTTAACAATAATTAAGGCACAAAAAAACTGACATTTTTCATTGCTAAATGTCATTTTGATCTAAATGGTTATGTTTGTTGTCATTGATGACATTTTGCATTGTTTATTTTGTTATTTTTATTTTTATGGTTATGTTTTTTGTTTACAATAGCCAGGACCGGCTCAAAATTTAATTAAACTTGGAAGGCCTATTATATACTATATATTATAGTTATAATAACTCTCTTATTTTTGAGTTTTGATAAAAAAGTTACTAAAAATATTTATTTGTTTATCTTATTTCTACACGCTGTTAGGAGGAACGCGTCAACTTAAAACTCACCCTGTATATTATTTAATTAAAAAAAATACATTTGATGTATTGTATGTCTTGGGCTATATTTATATTTTTAAGTCATAAAAAGCCTCTTAATAAACTAGTTAACAATCGAAAATAGAAGTATAAGAACCGATAAGAACCACAGTTAAACAACTGGCCGACTTTTCTTGGTCCGTCGACCCCAACTGTCTACCTAAATGAGAGGCATTAAAAACATTTATTTATCATATTCATAATTACTAGGGTGTGCCAAAAAAAAAGTTATTTTTTTTTCATGCTCTCACCCCAAAATCTCTCAGAAAATGCTCAAATAAAGATTCTGTTAAAAGCAGAGATCCATATTCAAATTTTAAGAGGTTCTCCATCGAACTTTAAGTTTTTCCGTCTAAATAACATGGAAAACATGGTTTTTTGACACTTTTTTGTCCTGCAAGGTGTGAAATTTTTTTTTTTTATGAAAATACATAAATGGACCTTTTTTATCATTAAATTTACTACAAAAAGTTCTATGAAATCAAAGGTGTTACCCCGTGATATTTAATAAAAATAAATGAGTTTGACCTAAATTTTTATTGTGTTTTAATCTTTCATAATTAAGTAAATATTACAGCTCAGGTTCCAGATTTTAAGCCGCAATTACTTATTTTTTAAAATGTTTTAAAAGTCTAAATCCTATCCTCCGTGACTGTTACTCTTTCTAGGTTAACCTATATGTTTTCAAATATCTGAGGTAGTAAAAGCATACCAAAAAAACAGTTTACTAAGTAAATTAAACACATCCAAAGCAATCGAATCAAATATAAAATATTATTAAAAATTAAAAGAAATAATTTTTATAACCATTTATGTAGGTGTTACAAATAATGATTCTATCCTCCGTGAATCTGTTTTTGCTTTAAATTGTATGCAACGGATGGCGCTTTAATCGTTTTAAATAAGCAAAAACCTCTGTTTACGACATTATAGATGCATGTGATTCCTGAAGGTCAGTTAGAATTTATATGCAGATGAGAGTGTTGCTGTTTTATAATTCAAAAGTTTAAGGTCATTAATTTGCTATTTAAAAACCTATCCACCGTGAAGTGTAATATCTCAGTAAGTAGATTTTTTATAAATATTTTACGTATGTACAATTTTAACAAATATTAGTGCAGAACCACTTATGTTATGTTATGTTATTACTAGACCAAAAACCCCATTCTAGACTAACAGTGAAACAACCAAAAATAAAAAATAATCATTTTCACTTGGGGGACATCTCAATATATTCACCCATATAGAAATAAATTATTTCGATGAAAAGTTAAAAAAAAAATTGTCATAGTTAGAGCTACGTATCCTAAGCCCTAGACCATACGGGATATACTTTATATTAAACAAAATTTATTAATATTTCCTACGCGCGATTATCTTTGAGACGGTTACATTTATCGAAAAATATTTTTTATGTTTATTAAAATATGTGTAAAAGTGTATTTTTCATGTAAATTTTTCTACCAAAAGTATCTCGTTATTGTGTTGCAGGAAAAAATGGTGTCATTTGTCCGAAACCAGTAAAAACAAAGTCATCAGAATTTTATGTTCTAAAAAAAATACCCTCAGGAGAACATCTTGTAAGACTTCTTGAATATGTAGATGGGGAGATGTTTTGTAAAGTTACCCTGTCCAACAAATTATTTTATGATGCCGGGCATTACGTGGCTAAATTGGACCAAATACTTAAAGTAAAGTATAAGTTTTTTTATAATCTATATAATTTGGGTTTTAATTTCAAAAAACTTTTATAGACTAACGCGATATTTTAATTAATTGCAAATTAAACTGAAATTCCACCAGAAATCAGATTATATTTTTTAAGGATATTTTACATATCCTTGGAAAAAAATTGTTATTGTTATATTTAAGTTACATCACGAGGTAATTTTTTATCACAAGCCATCTGAAACCATTTTGAAATCTTTCTATTCTGCGAAAAATTGTTCATTGGTTTTGAAAATTTAGCATTAAAATTCAAGTACCTATTCAATGAATTTGTGAATTATTTTCCTAAAAAACCTTTATATTGATATCATGACATTTTGTTGCAAATACTGTCCAAAATAATTCTTATAAAATACCCAGATAGCACAGAGACATTTTAAAGATATCTTAAAGATATTGGACTCGGATGTTTATGACATCTCTAAGACGTCTAGTTTACGACTTAAGTCATCTTAAAAACGTCTTTAAGATATCTAATGTTATCTAATGGTATTAATAAGTCTTTGCTAAACGTCGTTAAGACGTCTTTAAGATGTTAAAGACTACCTATTTAAAACGTCTTGGTTATCCATTGCTACATCGCCAAAACATTTTTAAGGTATTAAGTAATTAAAATGTAGCTAATAATGCTTTTAAAAACATATTTGTTTATGTTTTTATTACAAATGGATATTATTATTAAATAACCAATCTACAAGAATGTCAGATATATATTTATTCATCAATATTCATGAAACTGCAGTTACCCTACCCATCATCGTTGTCAAAACTTAAAATCCCACATTAATGTTGTTTCTATTACACCAAAATAAGATGGGACTTACCTAATCATATCTTACTATGAAGTGGCCGATTATGGGATATAATTTCGATTTTGAGTGGTCAAAATTCACTATTTTATCAAAAAAATAAGCGGCGGTATCAGGCATTTATAAGATGCCTTTAGAACATTAAATGAAGATGTCTTTAAGACGTCTATCAAAAGACGTCTTTTTTAGATCTTTAGTCGTTCAGGCATAATACAGACATACAAAAGACATCTTCAAGACGTTGTGTGCTATCTGGGTAATGATGTGGTGCCACATTTTGCTAAAAATACATTTTCATCTAAAATTCTTGCCCAGACTAAGTTTTTCATAATACTTGATATGATTTTCTCTGATGAGATGAGGATTTTCATTGCTCCAATAACGACAATTTTGTTTGTTAACATTTCCATTTAGATAAAAAGTACACTCATCGCTGAAGCAAATGTTTTTTAGTATTTGGACCTCCCTTGTTATCTTATTGGTGCAATTAAAACTTTTATAATCCTTTAAAATATTTTTAGAACTTTGACGACCCAGTATACAAAAGGTACAAATCTTTGTGGCAAATGGAAAATATAATAAAACTTCCAGAGTACTTATTTGCCATTAAAGACGAAACTAAACGTAAAACCGTTGAAACTGTAATCAACCACTTTAAAAACAGAGTTTTACCGCAAAGTGCCAAATTAGAAAAAGGACTAATACATGGTGATTTTAACGAACAAAATATTATCACGAAAAAAAATGAGGATTGGTCTATATACGCCATCTTAGATTTTGGTGACAGTCATTTTAGTTGTTATTTATATGAGCTGGCTATTTGCATCACTTATATGATTTTACAAGGAGGTAATATTGATGTTGGAGGTTATGTCCTGGCAGGTTATACTGCTGTTAGAACTGTACCTGATATCGAATACAGCTTATTAAAGGTAAGTACATTTAATGCACTTTCAAATTAATTAACATCCCACCTTTAAAACGCCCTTTATCGTACATGTTTCCATGACACTAAGTGACCTTTTAAATACACATTGACAAGTTGTGGCTTTATGGCGCTTTAGTCACGGACTGAAGTTAGCAACAGGTTTTAAGTAACGGGCTGAAGTTAGTTTTAAGTTAGTTGACGTCAAATCTCATACAATCGTTAAAATAAATTGCGTTTCTTGTAAAATAATACTAAATGTGAAAATTATTTTATTATCTCAATAAAAAAATACAAAAGTATTAAGTAGTTTCTCAACGCCAATATTTGAAAAGTTTATATGAACATTGTACTGACCTTTTAATTTCGCCGGCAGTAAACTATAACTTAAATTCGGGCACGGACTCCACTGTAAAGTCCTCATAAAACATTTTCTTTACTTTCACTGTGAAAAACTCAATTTTCAATAAATACATTTCGATTATAACCTTTATAATCTGTGTTTATAAAATATAAAAATTTGACATTTGCCGGTGACACACAGATTCCCCTATTGTTTCATAGATGGCGCTCTATACAAATTTTTAATTTAAATCATTTTAAAAATAATAAATATTTGTCGTAGAAAAAGTATAGTATGCACCTCGTTTATAAACTTTTCTATACACTCATTAATTTCGTGTATAAAATGGCGTTTATCAAACTTGATACATAATATACAATTTATAAATGTTTTAGGCGTTGAGAAACATTGCATTAATCATTATCGATTTTATCGGGATTATTTTAGATTTGCATAGAAGGAAGGATATGTCAATCCTTGGTTTTGGGAGCCTATTCAGCTTTGGACGATCCTAGTAATACTTATTTACTTTCAACTCAAGAAAATGGCTGGAAAATTCTTAACGAACTCACCAGAATACCAGATTCTGTATTAATTGAAAAATGGAAAAATACAGTGAAGACTTATGGAAAATAAAAAAAAGAGTTTTAAAAATCAGTTTAATTAAATAAATCAACGTATTTTATAAATTTACAAATACTAAACATTAAATTATATCTCAATAGAGATTAAACAAATAAACACACAAATATATAAAGTGGTTATTTTTATTGAAAACAAAGTAAAAATAATAATTTTATTGCTTGTAAATATTGACTAGGTATAATTGTATTGAATTAACTATTTTATTCTACATAGCGTCAATATGTACACTAGCCAAAAAATTAAAAGCAAATTTTAAAAGGTACAAACCACTCGCATATTATGTTTATGTAGTAATGATGTTTAATTAAAATGTGATTAAAACTTAAGGAAATTAAAGGTTTTTTATACAAAGTTTTTTAATTAACATATTTAAATATTTTGAACGGTGTAATAATACACATTTTTACATTATACACATGCCTTTGGAAGGTGCTTAAATTCATTATATAGCAATTTAACAAACTTTGAAAAAATACTTATATTAATACTGATAAATAACTTTTTGGGAACTTTTAACTACCTAATTATTTATATTAAATAGGAATGTCATTCCTGGAATGTATAATCTAGAAATTGGGAAGACAACTTAACTTAACTATTTTGTGTCCATAGGTTTTAAGTTTATTTTTTTACAATAATTATTATTGTTTTAAGTTTTATTTTGCACACTGATTATTTAGTAGATATAGTGGCTTTAAATAATTGTAAGCTTTATTAAACGAAAATATAACGTTACGTATTGATTGGGTAGGTGTAATAATAGTTGCCTACATTTGTATTCGACCACGCCGAGATAAACATGAAAATTTTTAAGTAAATAAACAGTTTAAATGTACCTATTTCATGAATATTTTAATAAAAATTATTAAAATTAATATAATTTCACATGATCAGTCTTAAACTTATTTGAACATAAATGGTGTACAATACAACAAATTTTACAAAACTAAATAACAACTTATAAGTAAAATCTAGGTGCATTTTTCTAAGATATTTTAACAACTTGTAAAAAACATAATTTGAAAAATCTGCTAATAGGTTTTCTTATATGCTGCATGTTTGGCAACACTGCTGTTGGTATCTCATGATGCGGCAAAGATTCATTGTCTTCACATTTGGGCAGAATTTGGAATGGTCTAAGCAACGATTTTCTAAAAAAAAAAACAGTGAAATAGTTTAATGGTAATTTTTGTATAATTTTATCTATTTTGCAAAAATTGTATAAAAAAATTAATTTTATAACTTAAATTTAATTTGGTTGAATTTTACTTTATATAGTTGGTATCACAGTAATTGGTTTGACAGTTAATGTCAAAATCGATTCGCCATGCCATCCTTAATTTACTTATTTACAATAAGCGGCTGTTAATGTTAAAGAAGAAAAAAAGGATTTTCTTTGGTGTTAAACAAAATTTATTGCCAGAAAAGTCTCGTAAGTACTTGAAAAATTATTAAAATATTATAACCAATATGCAAAATATTATGCTGTTTAAAGTATAGCCAACCTATAAAATCAAAATTTTGGTGGGATAAAGTATTTCCCCTGTTGTAAATAACCGATTAATTCCTGTAGATACCAATTAAAGTATTGGTTGGTATCAATGGGTCTGAATTGGATGGGATATAAAATAGATATTGGTTTTTAGTGGTATTTTCCATGATGGAAAAGTCCAATTAGGATTCTAATGTTTTTTATTGGTTTCGATTGGATAAAACTACCCATGGGTAATTTCCAATTCAATTCAATTTTCCAGTGTAATGTTTTTAAGCGGTTTCGATTGGATAAAGCTACCTATATGTAATTTCCAATTGAATTCAATTGGGCATTCCCAGTGTAAGATTCAAAAAATCTGCTAATTGGTTATTTCCAATACAATACAAATATCGCAAGAGGGCTCTCGTGTAGCTGCGCAAAACCAACGAGGTTAGGACGCCATCATAAAGAAAAAACAACACAAACAAGTCTTTGGACGCCATTTATTAGCGGTTTTTTTATTAGTCGATTTCTGTGTTAAGTGCCTAGTGATAGTAGTGTAATTATATCTTAAAAAAATGTTTATATGTGTAAGGTTTAGGGCCGATGGCGTAGGAATGGTTATCACAGCGGACAAAATAAAAAAATTGACATAAACAATATCGACTTCGACCATGCCTACAAACATCCTTTGCAAGACAAGGCAAAAAAATGTTTATAACCAAGTTATTTTATTTATCTTTTATTACTTTTTTTGTGATAGTTATATCCCAGGTAGCACACTGACGTCTGCTGACGTTTATATGACGTTGAAATGACGTTGCTAACGTCATTTAAACGTCATATAAACGTCAGCAAACGTCAGTGTGCTACCTGGGATGTATCAATACATATGTACAGTAACTGTACTACAGTTGTATTCAATAAAAAAGCGTACAAGAATTAGAATGAGAGAAAACTGTCAAAATAATATTATTGCTTAAAACCGGCTTTTCACTGACCTAAGTCATTAAAATAATTACTATAGGTTATAAAGAGCATTGACGTCGTAGGTTAATTAAATAATATTACAAAAATTATTAATTTTTAATATAGATTTTTTATTTCTATTATAACACGGTACGAATTGACCATTCTTCTTCGATTCTTGATACTATTTGAGCCTGACGAGGCATTTTTATTTTCTACTGTCAGTTATAGTGACTTAAGTCAGTGGAAAGCCGGTTTTACGCAATAATGTTGACAGTTTTCTCTCATTCTAATTCTTGTACGTTTTTTTAATGAATACAACTGTACATAGATCACAAAAAAAAAATAAAGAAAGAAAATTACTCAGTAACAATAATTTTTTTTTTGTGAAAAATGAATTCTGGCTTTTACCCGGTTATCCTTCTGGGATCTAAAATTATTTTTGAATGAAAAATAAACTGGTAGGTATTTTCTAATCTAAATATAAAAATATTAATTGGTTTTTATTGGTTGGAATGGGTTTGGCGCTATGAATTACCAATTCATTCCATGTGCATTTCCATTGGATTTAGCCAATAGAGACAAGCATAGGCATGGATTGGTATTTTCCAATCCAAGCCGCTGACTTCATTGGAACTTACCAATAGGAAAGCAACTGGAATGAATTGATGATTCATAGAGTCAAAACACATTTCAAACCAATTACTTATTTCTTATTGGATTCTATTGGTCATTTACAATAGGGTCATTACAACACCGAAAGCGGTGTTATAATGAAGTCATTATGAACGCAAAATAGATAAAATTTATTTGAATAGTTAAATTTTTTACCCATAGTGCTACATTGTGGTCCAGTACATATCTTCATAATTGGTGGTCGTTTAATATTCTTACAAGCCGTTCCAGCGGGTTTTTTAGTGCCGTTCCAAAGGCAACGCAGGGTCCTGTATTTAACTCCTTTCATCTCACAAGGAGCAGCGCACTGAAATGTAAAAACCGTTTTTGAAAACCGCACACTTAAATGATATGGGATGATAAAAACTTACATCCGACCACTTTCCCACTTGCCATTTCCCTACACATTTTTTATTGTAACATACTTTATTGTCGACGGGTTTTTCTTTTCTGCTGCATTTAGAAATCGTGTTTGTTTCGTTCGATGGGGTTTCGCATTTCACGGTCCTCTTCTGCATAGCTAAAAATATTTCATTCTACATTTAAATAAATGAAATATTGCGCATAGAAAATTTATATGGCCTTCTGATTATTATATTGAAAATTTTAACATAAACAATTTACTGGCCTTTCAAAAGTATAGTGAAAGTTACTTCAAAGCTTATTTTGAATGGGAATCAGAAGATAAAGATAAATAGGCTAAAAAAATATACAAAGAACCCAGCCAATACTGCAAAAAAAATTATCATAATGTATGACTTAGCCTAAAGATTTTATTTTTAATAAATCCGATGTTTTTCTTAATAAATTACCTCAGTAGCACAAAATATTGTTCCTATATGGGGCGCGTCTATTTCCAATAATTTATCTGGGGCCAATATTGGATTTATTTAGCCAATTCTAGCCCTAGGGCTATATTGTCATAAAATGATAATTTAATATATATATATCTATATAACAAGGGTAATATGCGATTTCTTGTCTTATTAGCAATAAAATTCGTTAAAAAGTTAATAAAGCTCAAGCTGATCATTTTAGCACACGATACAAAAGATTTTAGCATTTCATCGTAATTAAGAATAACATAGAAAGTACACGACTTGTCTTATTGGTAGATTTTTTTAAAGAATTTTGAGGGTACATTTTACATTAAGTAACCCCTTCTCTCTCTTATTATTTGGGTGGGAATTGTCATTTCGATTTTTTTTATCTCAAAAATTTAATTGAATTTTGAAGGGTCAAAGGTCAAGTCTACAAAAATCCGATGAATTATCGAAGGTAAGACCAATCTTTTTATACCAGTTAGAAATTAGATAAGCCTTTGATAAATAAAAAATATAAGTTTCCCAAAATATAATTGTTTCAATCTTCTATAGTAGAAGTTAAAATAAGAAAACTAATATGCTAACTAACAATTTAATACCTAGTATCATGAAAACGAAATATCAACTTTGCCAGAATATTGAACATCAAAGGTCACCATTAACTACTATTGAACGAATTGAATGAATCCATTTCAAATTTAAAAACCTTTTATGAATAGGCGCCAATGGCTAATTTGCCTTTTCATTTTTTCCAAATTAGAACTTATTCAATAACACTATGATAGTTCGAATTACTAACATTGAGTACGCCCACCTATATTACCTAATTTTGGGCTGCTGACTTCAAAAATTCCACTCGTTTTGCTCCAGGACGTCTAGGATTCGAAATAATTGCGTAATAAAATGCTCTGCCCAATTATCTCAAAATGTAAGTTTTTTATTAATATTTTGATTATTTATTAAATTATTTTGCCTTAAATCTATTTTGGATGTTCAGTATATTTTTGACGGGGGACAGGGACTCCATACAAAGTCATCGGTAGATAAATGTCAAATAGAATTTTTTTTGTTTCATTGTAGCCGTATACTAACTATAGTAGTATTATATGTATAAGGGATATTTAATAAAGCACTTTTCTATAGAGATGTGCTTTATTAAATACAAAAACTAAAATTATAATATTTTTTTGGTAAAAAATATCATTTTTCGAAATTTTTGTGTCGTTTTTTTAATTACTAATTAAATTGAAAAGGCAACAAAGTAAATGGGTTTTGGTATAAGCATTATTCTTCGACTTTTATTTGATATTTTTTTTTATTCACGTCATCAAGTACCCAAAAATTTAATCTCCAATCTCCAATTCGATATTAAATTTTGATAAGACTTAATAAAATTTAATATCGAATTGATGTATAAAAGCGGCTTTATCTACTTTATCGTTTAAGCACATTAAAGTGCATCTATTAATTATTGACATTTAAAATTTAAACTTTAAATTGTATTTTTACTTGAAAGTGATTTTAAGAACCAAAAATGAAAAAAGAGCAGGAAATGAAAGATTAAGGAGACGAACGTTGTTTGTTTTGTTTTTGTTGCGGTACCTTTACGCCCAAGAAAAACCAACGCAATATTTCATTATAAAATTTTATGAGATATACCTACTACTTTAATTTGCAGGAATATTAATTCCTTAAAGTTGACGAGCTTGTCGCATATGGCAGTGTTAAAGCTGTCATTGAAAATGTTCTTGGTTCATATCGGGCCTAAAATTGGCGTCAATTTATTGAAAACATGCTCTTCGTTTTGTAAAGAATTAACGTTAATATGACATTTAAAATACATTTTCTTTTTTTTATTCTGATAAATTTGCTAACTGATGAACATGGAGAACGATTTTACCAAGTAACTGCAAATCTAGAGCATTGGTAGATATCTATGGGTATAGCGGAAAGAAGTTGGATTCATTGCTGGAAGACATTTGCTGGAATTTGCAGCAAAAGATGTACGACGATGATGAGGATTAAGCACAATAATACTATAATTCAATTCGATATTTGATACGATTTAATAAATTTAAGGTAGAAAATAGCAAAATAAAAATACTAAAACTTGTTTACTTTGTTGCCCTTTCAAATAATGGTTGTTTTTTACATAAAATACATTAAACTTTTAGTTTTAGTATTTAAAATATCATATTGTTAAGATAAATATGATCTATTTGACGTATACCAATTACTTCAGTGGTACTTTTAAGATAAATTAAATACAAAATAATTTAATAAACAATTAAAATACTAACAAAAAACTTACATTTTGAATCAGCGGCCCAAAATTAGTTAAACTAAGCTGGAGTAAACAATGTTAGGAAAAAAGAGTTTCTAAAACTATCATAGTGTAATGATTACAAATAGTTCAATTTTACTAATAATATTAATAATAATTGAGGCCTGTCATAGCAAAACCGACAATCTAGACTTTTGGTCAAAAATTAGATTTTTGGCGGAGACTGTACTTCAACTAATTATCTATAAGATCATAAAGTTAATGTGCTGGAAAAGGAGCTAAATCCTGCCTAAAATCCTATTTTAAAAATGACATTTAGTGCAAAGTCGACAATCTCCACTGATAGATTTGCAGCAAAGTATACAATCTCCAATTCCACCATTAGAAATTAGTAATTTGTGTCACCTGATATCCTAACATTTGATGTTATAACGTATTTTAGAGATTTAATTTTGTGTTTTTTTTACTGGTACATACTGTTAAGTTCAATTGCAGTAAATTGGACTTAAAAATATATTTAAATTAGGTGTATATACGTTTTATTGTTTTAAGAATTATAAAAAAAGTTATCTTGTTTATTTTGTGCTATTATACCATAATAAGACGTAAAGGTAAAGCAAGAAAAGGCTGATAATGTCAAAACATTGCAAGTAAAACATTACGGGGCAAAGTGGGAAGAAGATGATTAGTTGTTGTACTATAAAAACTTTTTTGCACGAGGCAACCCGGTCCCAGATTTAGAAGAAACTCCAGATTTATGTGGTCCAGTTCAGAATTTTCCCACATTGATTGTATAGTTAAATTTTATAACCATTAAAGGAAAAAATACAATTATTTTTTTGTGTATTTTTTAATCTCGTTAAACTTTACAACAAAATGAGCAATCTCCAGCTCATATCAAAGTCAGCAATCTCCAACTTATAATTATAGATTTCACCTATACCATGCATTCTGGAGACCTTGTAGTTGGCTACTAGACTAACAACAACAATACTTCAATATAATATATAAAAAATTACAAATCTAGAATTTAAAATACCAAAATCAATTATCTCAATTTACTCAGTTTTAGTCTGACGGGAGATTGTTGACTTTGCTCTGACAGGCCTCAATTGATACGTGTATAAAATCCTTTTTATTAAAATTAAAAAAGGTAAAATCGCACATAAAAAAGAACCTCACCTTCATGGAGTCCAATACATTTGGACGACTCGCAGGAATTCCATTCGTATACCTTCCACACCGGACATTCCTGCAGGTTGCACTTGCTCTTTGTCTGCGGTTTTTCGTCCTGGCAGAACTCGTTTCCCACTTCAAACGTCGTAACATTTTCCACCGAAACGCACGCGATCTTCCTTATTTGATAGCCGGTGTTGCCACAGGATTCCGAGCACTTGGACCAGCCGCTCAGTTGCCAGATGTACTTCTTCGTTTCGATGAGAATGGCGTTCGAGTCCTGCTCTCGATAGAAACTGTTCGGAAGACTGTCGACTATCATTCGGTGACCTCGCGAGTTCGAGAACATCTGAAAAGGCCACAAAATCTACGATTTTTATTAATAAGGAATATATATTAAAGTATCTGCTAATTAGGTATTATGGTTAGCGATTGATTTTGATTGGATGCTACAGTAGGGTGTCCGTTATTTACCACTTTTTTTGTTGTCAGCGCCCCCTAAATTTTTAGGTTATGATCTAAAAAAAATTATAAAAAAAATATTGCCACAAAGACGATACATTTTCCATTTAAATTTTCGGCAAGTTTTACATTTAATTTTTTTTCTCCCGAGAATGTTAATATACACCAATAAGAGACACATATTTTTATAGGAAATTGAACGCTGCACAAAGCTTTCCTATGATTTTTTCATAAATTCACTGATTTAAGGTTAAAGTTAAACTTTTTAATTTTTATGAAAATGAATTGTTTATTTTTGAAAATATGTGATTTTATTGTATTATTGAAAAACTAAAAATTATTGAACGAATCTGGTACTAGTTTTACTCAATAATAGTACGATTACTTTTTTACATAATCTTTTTATTTCTGTGAAATTGTACAAAATTTTATACGATTTTATAAAATAATAAAAAATAAAAAGTTTTGCTTTAGTACAGCTAATAACGTAAGAATTCTTTTAACAAGTATTTTTACGACAAAATAAAATTCCTAGTTAGGCATATGTTGTCTTGAGAATGAGATGCAGACATTTCCGCTACATCCAATTATCCTTTTCAAATAAGTTAAATGTATTTTTCTACTCCCACCTTTAAAACGCCCTTTATCGTACATGTTTCCATGACACTAAGTGACCTTTTAAATACACATTGACAAGTTGTGGCTTTATGGCGTTTTAGTCACGGGCTAAAGTTTGTTTTAAGTTAGTTGACAGTTGTCAAATGTCATACAATCGTTAAAATAAATTGCCTTTCTTGTAAAATAATACTAAATGTGAAAATTATTTTATTATCTCAATACAAAAATACAAAAGTATTAAATAGTTTTTCAACGCCAATATTTAAAAAGTTTATATGAACATTGTACTGACCTTTTAAATTAGCCGGCAGTAACTTAAATTCGGGCACGGACTCTATTGTAAAGTCCTCATAAAACATTTTCTTTACTTTCACTGTGACAAACTATCAATTTTCAAGAAATTTATTTCGATTTATAACCTTTATAATCTGTGTTTATAAAATATAAAAATGTGACATTTGACGGTGACACACAGATTCCCCTATTGTTTCATAGATGTCGCTCTATACAATTTTTTTATTTAAATCATTTTACGACGATAAGTATTTATCGTAGAAAACGTATAGAAGGCACCTCGTTAATATACTTTTCTATACAAACTTGATACATAATATACTACTTCTACATTGACGAGCTGTGACTTTATGGCGCTTTAGTCACGGGCTGATGTTGGCAATAAGTAGCGGCTTTTGGGCATTTTAGTCACAGGCTGAAATTAGTTTTATTATAAATTAGAGAAAAGTGAGGTTAATTCCCTTCACAGATGTCAAACGTTTAACAAATATAATTGCTATATATATATATATATATATAGTATGCAACTCGTTATATAAACTTATTAAGACACTCGTTTTTAATAAGCTTCGCTCGTGAATAATAAAACTCCTAAATAAAATGGCGTTTATAAACCTTGATTCATAATACCTACTATTATAAAAAAGGTGCCACAGACGATGGGTGATTGACCTTCAAACTTCAACTTTGCGACACGAAATCTGTAAAGTGCGACTTCTGCGTTCTGTGGTCAAAGTACTAAATCATACTTTAGAGCGCATGCGTAACTACAAATTTTATTTTTTCGTAAAAATAATTGTTAAAAGAATTTCTACGTCATTAAGCTACAGCTGAAGGAAAATTTTTCATTGTATATTATTTTATAAAATCGTATAAAATTTTGTAAAATTTCACAGAAATAAAAAGATTATGTAAAAAAAGTAATTGTACTAAATTTTAGTAATACTAGTACCATATTCTTTTAATGTAATAAAAAAAATTTAATTTATCGGAATTTCTTGTCAATAACACTGTGCGACAAATTTTGACCTTACAATTTGAACTGGGATGAAATGTGGAAAAATCGAATCTATGCAACCCCCAAAACTAATCTTTAAAGGGGTTTTGCTAGTTTAGCTCGAATAATGGAAATATACAGGGTGTTTCTTTTAACTTGAGACAGCTCAATATCTCGAGAAATACGCATTTCACGGAAAAATGTCTTAAATAAAAGGTTAATGTGACTAAAGGGGACATTATTTGGTGCTACCGCTAGCCACCCCCTACCCCTCCTTAAGGGTGAAACTTTGGAAAATCAAATGGAATGACCAGATTTTCACAGAGTTTGGTAGTACATAAAAAAATGAATATTTTTTATTTGAAAGTTTTTTTAATTTATCAACAGATGGCGCTGTAATTTAAAATTTAAGAAAAAGGGGTTTCCTTGTAAAATGTATTATTTGAAACGTTTGAAAAACAAAAATTAACATTAAATCAACAATAGTCGGCTCTGAAAACAATTTATAACAAATGTTCGAAATGTCGTCCTTCCATTTCAACACATTTTTGAATGCGGGTAATGAATTCTGGCACACAACGCGCCAACATGTCGGGCGGTATCGCATTCCATTTGACTTTCCAAAGTTACCCCCCGTTTCACCCTTAAGGAGGGGTAGGGGGTGGCTAGCGGTAGCACCAAATAATGTCCCCTTTAGTCACATTAACCTTTTATTTAAGACATTTTTCCGTGAAATGCGTATTTCTCGAGATATTGAGCTGTCTTAAGTTAAAAGAAACACCCTGTATATCTCCATTATTCGAGCTAAACTGGTAAAACCCCTTAAAGGATTTGTTTTGGGGGTTGCCTAGATTCGATTTTTTCAGATTTGATCCCAGTTCATTTTTTGTGTTGCACAGTGTAATTTTCACTTATCTCTTTATAATAATTTTTACTTTTTCAATAATACAATAAAATCACATATTTTCAAAAAATAACAATTTATTTTCATAAAAATAATGATAATTCTGCAGTCAAAGTAAAAAAATCGAAAAAATTACTATACGTTCAATTTTAACCTTAAATAACTTTTAAACTAGTGAATTTATCGAAAAATCATAAGAGAGCTTTTTTGTACAGCGTTCAATTTACTATAAAAATTTTTATATTGCTGAATATTAACTTGCTCGGGAGAAAAAAAAATAAATGTAAAACTTGCCGAAACCCCATGTTATTTAAATGGAAAATGTATCTTTTTTGTGGCACGGCTTAATATGAATATTATTTTTTTAAATTTTTTTAATAATTTTTTAGGTCATTAACTAAAAATTAAGGGGGCGCTGCGAAAAAAAAAACCAAGTTGGTAAATAACGGACACCCTAATCCTACAGTTTTTAAAACAAACCATAACCTCTACAAATTATAAATGTAGTTAAATCATCACAAATTTTTTGCTTATAACAACACAAAAGAAATGCTTAAAATATAGGTAAGCAAAGTTTATTTAAATTCATCACAATAAAACAGTTGAGAAATACATTTGGTTTGTGTACATACAGATCACTAGTGGATTACGTAAGGTGTAATAACTATAACAATTATAATTTTTTGCAAACCGAAGGCATGATTTGTTTGAGAGTCAAACTCATATAACAAATATTATTATTATTATTATATTATTATGGTCAGATGAATATTTGCGCTTATTAAAAGAAACTGCGTACAGTGGCAACAATGAATGCAAGTAAAGCATATCGTATGTAAAAAATTGTAATTGTTTATTTTATATTTCTAACGTCGATAAATTGTTTAGTTCTGGACGTGTTTGGTTGTTTTTTGCTGGTCCGGCGGAGCCATTACAGCCGTAAGGTTACATTTATTTGTGCAGAGCACCTATCCCCAGGGAATTCAAAGGAATGGAAGCAAGCAGACTACTCTGAAGTAGGTATTCAAATACACCCCGAGACACGTTTCGTCTTTTGCAATTGCTTTGTCAATCATGATATGTACATAAAAAGCAAGATTGATCTCTGAATTTATTTTCTCTTTTGCTCCTTTAGAGTTCGTTTTTCTCAATTCGAACTTTGACACATTTTATTATGTTGGTAGACAATGTACAGGGTGGGCTATATATAACTTACTAATTTCGATTTTAATTGGAACCCTTTAAGTTAATATGCTTTCTCCGCCCTGTTGTATATATATATACCTATAGGTATATAATATTTTTTTTTCAAGCATTTAATAATTCTGTACTCACATTGCAATTATCGAGTTTGCGACATTTTGTCAGGTTTGACGTTTGACATATGTCATATTATAGGTTATGTATATAAATTTATTCTAGTTTACATTTTCTTTGTTTATTTTAAGCTAAACGCGATATATGGAACCACTCTGCCTAAGTAACTTCAATGTATTTTCATTATTATACGGCGGTGTATAATAATTTGACTTTTGAACTGAGTAAATATATAGGTTTAAGAGTACTATAATTGAGGCCTGTCGTAGCAAAACCGACAATCTCCACTTTTGGTCAAAAATAAGATTTTTGGCGGAGACTATACTTCAACTAATTATCTATAAGATGATAAAGTTTATGTGCTGCAAAAGAAGCTAAATCCTGCCTAAAATTCTATTTTAAAAGTGACATTTAGTGCAAAGTCGACAATGTCCACTGATAGATTTGCAGCAAAGTATACAATCTCCAATTCCACCATTAGAAATTAGTAATTTGTGTCACCTGATATCCTAACATTTGATGTTATATCGTATTTTATAGATTTAATTTTGTGTTTTTTTACTAGTACATACTGTTAAGTTCTATTGCAGTAAATTGCACTTAAATAGGTATATATACGTTTTATTGTTTTAAGAATTATAAAAAAAGTTATCTTGTTTATTTTGTGCTATTATACCATAATAAGACGTAAAGGTCAGTTGCGTCGGGACATCCGAAGTGGATAGACGTGTCAAGTGGTTAAAGAGACCTCTCCTAGCAGCGTATACGAGAGAAATATAATAAAGTTCCAAAAACAAACCAAAGTATTCGGAAATATCGGTCATCGGTAATAATAAATAAATAAATAAATAAATAAATAAACATTCAAGTGCGGAAAGTGTGATAAGGGCAACAAGTGCAAAAAGAGTGCAACAAGTGCAAAAAAAGTGAAACAAGTGTGAAGAGTGGGAGATCTCCCATTAAAGCCGTAAAAGAGTGCAATTGAATAAGTAATAAAGGCCAACGGTCCACCTGGTCAGAAGGGATAGTCGCAACCAAAACCTATCAAGTACCTGCAGGGAGGTCCAGAAACATCGGACAGACCGTGAAAGACCGAGCATCAGGATTATAGCCGAATATCCAAGCTAAGTAATTTTTCTAACTGCACACTGAGAAAACGAAATATTTAATATTAAGAAATCAAAACAGTTGCGATTTTTAAAATATTTGTTAACTATTAAAAAATTTCTTAATCGTGAACAAATTATATACTAATTATTAAAACATCGTCCGGTGACTGTGTTTCAGACAAATAAAGGATAAAGTTGTCTTGGAACTGTGATATATTAACAGTTAATATACCTAAATAAAACGTTTTAACATTTGTCAACATAATTTTAAATGCAATATGCGCAAGCATGTGACGTTGCCGTAGTTTTTTACAAAATGGAATTTTGATATATTAACAGTTAATATATCTACATTTGCTAATACGTTATGAGCTTCTTTAATTCAACTTAACCAGTTCTTAGACCCAAATTAATATTTCTTTCGCCATATCCAACTCAACGATGTGTTAATAGTTAACGTGCCTCGTTATTAACAAATATTTCGTTCTCTCAGTGCATGTCTAATAACAAACCATTTTATTCAAAAAATCTAGTAAAACGTATCATATTTCGAAAAGGAATTTTAAGTTTCCCAGCTAGCACCAGAAAGTAAACATTCCTATTAGACAGACCACACAAGTCATTACATAAACAAAACAGAAAAGGCAGATAAGACTCCATCCCCCAAATAAACACTTGACTAATACCATAAATAAACGCCAAAACATAAATAATAATAAACACAAACCAAACAAACATGGAAAAAGTAAACACGAGCAATCATTCGGTGGGAATAATTAAAATGCCATCCGACGGAAATTGCTTAGTGGCCAGCTTGGCCCATCAACTAGAAATAGCCTGACAGGGTCAATAAATACATACGCATTAAGACAAAGACTAAATAACCACTTACGAACACACATGGAGACTTACAGCCCATACTTACAGGATGCGATCCTTGACCATCCCCACCGCTACGCGCATATTAACGACTGGGAACGCAAAACAGAGGCGTACTTAAAGGACCACGCACAAAACGGCTTCTGGCTGGGTTTAAAAACAATAATAGCAGCATCAGACATATTTAACGTCGCAATCGAAATACATCACGAACAGGGGCGTACTGACAAGATATCCTTCAGACATAACAATAGCAACCGGTCAAAAAAAAAGTCGGTAGATCTTGCTACACATTCCACGACACCCTGGCCCAGACAATCCAATTCTCACAAACCGATCTCGCCAGCTGGGAACAAATCAGCTCCCACAAAAACCGTATGCGGGAGGAGACGGAAAAACTGTATCAACTTCCGGAATCCGACTCGGAGACGGACACAGAAACTGACGAACCGGAAGTAAACCAACAAAGATAGGAGTAAGAAACTAACTAACATACCCACCCCCCATTCACGAATACCAATTGAATGGGGGTACTACTAAGGCCTAGGTTGAGGAGGATTCCGGATTGTACTTAGTTTTGGGTCAGTTCAATGTCCTCCAAAAACCCTTCCTAAACTGGACGTATGGCCCGACCCGGCTGACAAAAATTCCGGGAGCTGCCTTAACCTTTGACACTGTCATCCACGAACTCCTAGGGTGGATCTACCAACCGGCGTAAAAACTTCGGATCCAACAAACACAGGTAATGCTGTGATTTGGCGGGATACGCAGGAGAACGGAAAGGGGGTAATATAACCCCGGGTTCAGTGGATGACAATATATCTGGGGCTTGCCATACGTTCCCATACTCATACATACTCATACTCATATACCATAATAAGACGTAAAGGTAAAGCAAGAAAAGGCTGATAATGTGAAAACATTGCAAGTAAAACATTACGGGGCAAAGTGGGAAGGAGATGATGAGTTGTTGTACTATAAAAAAATTTTTGCACGAGGCAACCTGGTCCCAGTTTTAGAAGAAACTCCAGATTTATGTGGTCCGGTTCAGAATTTTCCCACATTGATTGTATAGTTAAATTTTATAACCATAAAAGGGAGAAAAATACAATTATTTTTTTGTTTATTTTTCTAAATCTCCTTAAACGTTTACAACAAAATGAGCAATCTCCAGCAATTCATATCAAAGTCAGCAATCTCCAATTTATAATTATAGATTTCACCTATACTATGCATCCTGGAGACCTTATAGTTGGCTACTAGACTAACAACAATATTTCAATATTATATATAAAAAAAATTACAAATCAATTATCTCAATTTACTCGGTTTTAGTCTGACGGGAGATTGTTGACTTTGCTCTGACAGGCCTCAATTTGAAAATTAATATACTTGATTGTTGTTTTTACTATTATTTTAAAATAAATTTTGGATTAAAAGAAAAATAAAAAATGCAAGGTAAAAATCACAAGTCAAAACGCTTTTAAACATAATAAAACCTTTATTAAACCAATTAAAATCTTCAACACATAAATAATCTAATTTTGAGGAACTACAATGGACTCAAATAAATGTACAAATTTTTACAATGACTAATGAGCGCTTTAAAGGGGTGACAGGCTCACCTGTATATTGGAAATAAATTTTTGAAAATGAGGCATATTGCGAGTCGCTGAGCTTGGAGTGTCCTCAAATATTGGAGGACTAAGGCTATCCGAAGAGCTAGATGGTAAGTTCAAGTTTAAATCCTTGCAGCACAAATAAAAAACAACATACAGATTTATTTTATTAGTCAAAACAATAATTTGTGTCTCTTTCGTACCTGGTCATTTCTATTGCTCGAATCCAGCCGTAGAGACGGCAGAGTGGGGGTGAACAATTTACCCCTCGGGGTGGTCTTCTTCCGCGGCTTATCCGGCCGTTGCTCGTGCGAATGTTCGTCGCTGAAAATGGGGTTAAGATCCTCCCTGCCGATGGAGATATCGGATATCAGATCTCCTTTCTCCGTTCTTACGCCTTGCCGTTGGATTTCTTCCGATGTGGGAAATTCGCCCGGTTTCGGCCTTACGGATATTTGGATGCTCGCTGTTGATTTGCCCGCAACGCACGTATACATACCGCTGTCTCTCAAGGTTAAGTTTGTGATTCTTAACGCGCCCTTCTTGGATGTTTTGTACTTCTTGGATTTGTTGATGTAGTTCTTGTCTTTTGCCCACTGTATTTTAGTTCTGTTGTACCTCTTGACCGGGCATTTTATTTTCACGGTTGTTCCTAGGAATACCGTGGCGGCACCACCTATTTTCAAGGATATCTTCTTCTTCTTTGGGTCGTGTTGGATGAAGGTGCTGTTGGAGACGTCAATTTGCGGTTTATCGCTTTCAACGATGCAACTCTTGGTATTGCATGGTTTGGTATCTTGGGGTTTCGGATGGGGGCACATCGAGGCTGGTCTATCTACGGTGTGATTTTGGGCCATGACTTGTTTGCACTCCACCTTCCTTATTTTTTCGCCTCCACCGCAAGTTTTGGAGCATCTGGACCATTCGTGCATCTTCCATCTCACCGGGCAATCAAGAACGTTGCAGTACTGCCTGTCGGGCGGTGGAGGTTGAGGGCACATGTTATTGGGGACTATAACGTTATTCCCCCCCCCTTGTGTCACTTCGTGTACACAGTTAACCTCCCTGGTTTGAATACCAATGCCGCAGCTCTGCGAGCAAGGAGAGAACTCCGAATAGTTCCACCTTGGAGGACATGGGTGGTCATTGCAAGTCCTCATGAGAATTTCGGGTTTTAACTCTATGGGGCACATATAAGGCGACGTAACCTTCTGAGTATCATCTCTTACGCAATTAACTATCAACTCCTGCACACCACCCAAACACGTAGCGGAACAGTGAGTGTACCCTTGCTCTTTCCACGAATACGACTTCCCAGGCGATCCCCCCGCCACTTTTATATCGGATCTGTATGGATCGTCTTTGATATCCACTCCTATGCGCTCGGAGGTGCACGGCTCCATGAAGCATTTCTCCATTTCTATGGGCTTAACTCCCGAGCATTGCTTGTCGGGCAGTTTCGCTATCGTTCTCGAAAACTCCAGGAATATTTTGCAGTGTACTTCGCGTTTTCTTACGCCTTCCCCGCAGGACACGCTGCACGGTCCCCACTCGTCTGGAATAAATCTGCAAAAATGGATTTATCAGTTTTGAATTGTTTCAAGTTTGCTAACATGCCATTAAATGTTACAATAAACTGTATAAAGGGTAAAATTGTGCTTTAAAACAATTGTTACTGCTTCTGTAATAGTAGTTTCAGTCGAGTTGTGTACATTTAGAAATTGTTTGGTGTAAGCAAAAAGTTTTAAGTGGTTTAAAAGTTTAATTTAAACAGTAACAATAATCAATAGTTTGCAGACGTGAACATGCTTTAAAAAAAGAAAATTAATTAAAAATGCAGGATATATTTTTTTGGAGATTCGAATAAATTATGAAATTGTGATTTAGCAATATGCACATTTATACCTTTTGGGTTGATAGTTTCGGAGATATTAATTATTAAAAGTAAAAAATTTATAGTTTTTAATAATGTTCTGATGTTTTTATAGTTTTACTCGTGCTACGGTTAGTAAAATTAAACGGAAATTTAGAGAGACTGGACATGTTAAAGATATTCTAAAACCTGTCTGTCCTAGTATAAGTGAAGACACATTGACATTTTGTTACGTGTGGAAGAAGATAGTTATTGGACAATTAATATTAATACTGTAAAAACAAGAGTTCTATAAATAGTTACCTTAAAGTCAAATCATTAGATGACGCTGTATACAATTATAACTATCTCAGTCGGTAATAATATAGAACTACTTTATTTTGGGTCCAATATAGGACAAAAAAGTTCGCACGTTACTTTTGTGGTAAGATTTTTGTTTACCAGCCAATTCTAAAGTAATATTGTCCCCTGAATCCGAAAAGACCGTCAAATACTATAAAAGTTAAACAGTTTTTGAGATATAGTCAATTCCATATTATATGTAAAATTGATTATATTTCAAAAACTGTTCTACTTTTATAATTTTTGACGACATTTTCGGATTCAGCGAATAATATTTCATAGGAATTGACTGCTAAATGTCCTGGATACAAATTGCTGTTGACGGGAATTATTAGTGGCTGCATTTTCGCTATGACATTTTTGACTAATTCATTTTTAGAGAGTAAGTAATATAGTGATTTCTTCGTCACAGGACATCTTGCAGAATAACAGTGATTTAAATACAGTGCATGAACATAAAAAACTAATGGCAACAAAATTAATAAATTCGGAAAATACTTTTAACATACAACCCGAAAAAATATTAGATATATATAAATCATCCTGTTCCGGCCTAAACATTATAAATGCTTCACAAACTAGAGATACCACACTTAATGGTATTTGCAACAAACTATTTCAGAAGTCAGACCAAGGAATTAGTGGTTACCTTCAGAATTCAGAAAAGGGATGAGGAATCCGAGAAAGAAATATATAAATTATATGATATTTACAAAAACGAAATAAAAAAAAATTACCTAAAATATTTAACAATTTATGTTATTGTAAAGTTGTTATGTTAATATAAAAATTGTATGTCCAATAACTATGGTTCATATGTCCAATTACTATACTTTTTTGCATGTTTTTATAAGACTATTATTAAAAATTCAAATATTCCTATTTTTAAGTAAATGTAAATAAAGTTTAAACAAAGAAACTATCCTTTTTATATATTTATAAGAAAAAAACTAAAATCTTTAAAACAACGGCATATAAATTTTAAATAAATAATATGTCCAATAACTATGTGGTTCTAGCCTAGTCGCAGCTGAAAGTCAAGTGTTGTAAAACTATGATGAATTTAAGTAAATTAAAACTTTTTTTAAATCACGAACTTTTAATTTAATAATACCCAGAACTAATTATTATACCAAAAGATATACGTGCATAATGCTGAATTCAGAATTTCAAAATCTATTCAATTAAAAAAAAAGTGTTGCTAAATTCAGGCTGTGACTAAAACGCCATATAGCTTGTCAATATGTCATGGAAACATGTAGGGCGTTTTAAATGTGAAAGTAGGAAAATACTTTTAATGAAAACCTTAACCTAACCGCATTTTTGTAATCTCTCTTTTAAAAATAAAATGTAAACAATTTCTTTATATGTACATGACCAAATAATTTGCCTACCGTCGTTTGTGCTTTGTGTAATTACTTTATCAGAAAAAATCTAAATTTAAAGGATTGTACTCTACATTATTTTAATTAAATTCCTTTCCGAATATTTAAATAATTTCAAATATGCCCGCATCACAATATTGCATGAACATAACATTAACAAAAGCAAATTTTCCTGCAGATAATTACGAATTTAGCCCACATAAACCCCACGAAAATAATAGGGGACACAAAGGAGATAAATAAATTAAAGTTACAGTAGAAATTAAATTAAAATTTTAACCGATTGCACAAATATTTAAGTTTACCTCTCTTACAGTTGAGTGATATTCATTATTACAACGGGTCTAAAATAACAAATTTTACATAAAACCGGATTAATTATGCACAGTACAAACTTTACCGGCACGTTTTACACTTTAAAATAACATTCGGCATTCCCTATAAAAACAAGGCCAAAATTATTAATTAGATGCAGTTGGTTTTACGTTTTATATTATTAACCTTTATACCTGACAGTATTTTTTCATATTATAGTCTCGATAGCTCAAAAGCATTGTGTAAATTCGAGAATTGTTAACAATACATTTAAAGCATACGAAATGCACATAATTTTTTAATAAAAAATAATTAAGTATTTTTTTACAAAAGAGAGGAAGGCAGAAGTCTTACTCGACAAAATTTGTTCAATTGCACAGCTAAATCGCGCACGTTATTTGTGTTTTACGTTGCAAGTTAAAACTGAAAAACTTTGGTTTATAACTCGATTTCGATTTATTATTATTCCCTATATAATTGATTAAAAAACTCAACGCTTATATGTTTATATAGTTCCGTTAGTGTGTGTTTTTTATCTATTATATATTGTAAGTGATCATGGGGAATTATTGTGTTTTTAATTGTAAATGTAATTCAAGAACTAAATCGCATTTTTATGTTTTGCCAAAGGTTCCAATTCGGTAATTACATTTGTTGGTGCAGAATTAACTAATGACAACTTTTTTTAACACCCTGTAGTATAATCCTATGTGCAAAATATCGTATTCCCAAAATTAGACATAAGAGTCAAAGAATCAGCTATTCAGAATTTTCAAAGATTTTCAAAATCGATTCAGTAATTTTCCAATATTCAAATATTTTTCAAAAAACTAGGTGCGTCGATTTTTATGACGAGCAGTTTAGTTGAGAATATATTTCAAATATTACAGAAAAACCCCATTTGTGGAAATATTTAAAAATACAAGTGGTTAAAATCACAGCTTTTATAAATGACCTTTTGAATTGAGCGCACATTTTGTGGTGCTGCCCCCTTGCGGCAATGTATTTGGTAACGGATTTTAGTAGGAAATGGTGTTTTTAACTATCTTTTTGTATTTTTTATACCAGCGTGGCAAAACTGTGCATTCTCTTGTGTCACAGTAATACAAATTGGTAAAGGTATCAGTTGGACTTGGTTTGATTCTCAAAAGTAAGTATCCTAGTAATGGTTTTAAGGGCAAAAATACAAATTTTTATCTTTAAACCAGTAAATAGGTTATACATTTTTCCCCTGGGTCACACGTCTCCTGGATCACATATTGTATGACCCAGGGGAAAGTTATGTGACCCAGGGGACAATTCCAAAGAAATAAATTTTAATATATTTTTAAAATAATAAAAATAATAAAAAGTTTAAAAAACATTTTTTTCTCGAAGTTCCACTTTTTCTGTTTCTGACAGTACGTAGCCAATTTAAAATAATGTCCTCCACCTCTTTAATAGTAATTTTCCTAGTCAATGTATTTTGCCTCAATGAAACTGGAATAAATTTTTGGTAGTTTAAATTATAATTTTATTAATATTATTAACAACTAAAACGTTTTATTAATTTATTGCTCGTTAAATTGGACAAGCTGGGCCCTGATAAAAAATCGAGAAATTCTTAGACTCACTTTTTTAATGGACATTTTTTAAATACAGAAATAGAATATAGTTTTTGCTTTTACTTGGTTTTGTATTAATTTTTTTTATAAATAATAAATTTATGTCCTTTTTTAAACAAACCCTAGTGTATATAAAACCTTAAAAGGATTATTTACAATCAAAAAAATATATTTTCAAAATGATTAAGCATTTTTTTTTAATTTGTTAGTAAATTTGTGACCCAGGGGACCATTTTTTTCTTTTTTAAGGGCTTATTTAAAAAAATCCAACTGCACACTTTTAGGTGTTAAATAACACCTCTCAATAAACGAAATTTGGAAAAAACAGGTTTGTAGATTAAGTTTCTATTTTTACTTTTTTCTTCGTTAAATGTATACGAATTTATGGCAACATAATATTATAATATAATATATATTATATAATACATGCTATAATACCCTTTTTTGGTCTTTTACCGTTGAGTATAGACTTTTTCAATTAACGCTTTTAATAATGCATAATGCTGTTTGAATATGGACGATCTATTTGTTTTATGATTTTTACTTTATTAAAATGTTTAAAATTTTCTTCATTGGTAAGCTAATTTAGAAAATTGCCATTCATCAAGTCAATTTAATCGCATTCCTCAAAATTTATCTTTGAAACTAACGTTCTCTTTATGTTACTGTCAACAGGATGAAATAGAAAGGGCATTGTATTACTTGATTCATATCTAATATTTATTTGTTCTTGTTTTAGGTATAGACTTAATTAAAAGGATAAAAACACAACGAATGTAGATATAGATACGACTTTTTACTCGACGAAAAACACTCCAACTAAGTATATATGTTAGGATAATCCCTTTTTTACCAAAGTAGGACAGTAGAGCAATAAAGGCACGTGTGCCTACTAAGCAAAACAATCTGGGCACAGCTTAGAAATCGAATGGTAACGCAGAGTCCGCAGAACATTTGTAGAAGTCGAATCATAGCAGTTTAATAAATTTAGTTAAAAAGTAATAAATAATAAGTGAAGCCAATCAAATTAGTTTTATTCAGGGTAAA